TCACAGTGCTAACCGCAGTGCTTCTCCCCAGTTCTATTACTTTTTTGTCCATTTTGTTGCGAAAAAATATGCACCTAATTATTCTTGATATTTCACCTCTTCCCACATTTCATCTAGGTATTTCCAAACCATTTTCATTCTGCTTATAATGAAAATGAATTCACTTAGATTTATATTCATAAACTTCCATTAGTCGATCTTAAAAGTGGCTCAAAATCACTTTGGCCACTATTATTATCTATACATAATATTCTCCTCTACAGTCTTTTAGCTTCCCCTACTTCCTAAATCTTCTCAATCAACTGTGGAATAATTTCATTCAAATCTCCAACTATTCCAATATCAGCCACATTAAAAATTGCCGCTTCCGGATCCTTATTAATTGCTACAATGACTTTACTGTCTTTCATACCGGCCAAATGTTGGATTGCTCCCGAAATACCAACCGCAATATACAACTCTGGTGCAACAATTTTCCCTGTTTGACCAACTTGTAAAGAATTGTCACAAAATTTCGCATCAACTGCTGCTCTGGTTGCACCAATTGCCGCGTTCAATTTGGTAGCCAAGGGCTCTACTAATGCATCAAATGCCTCCTTGTTCTTTAATCCACGTCCTCCGGCAACAACACGCGTTGCAGAGCCTAATTCAGGTCTCTCCGAACTGACTAGTTCTTCAGATACAAACTCGGTTCTGTTCAGAGTATCGGCGTTGCTATCCTCTACCGCCACGTCCTCAATAACCGCCGCCTCTTGTTTTTCAGCTGGGGTAAATGCCGATGCCCTGACTGAGGCTAATATTATTTCATCCTTTGATCTAACAGTGGCCAATGCATTACCTGCATAAATTGGACGTACAAACGTTTTACCATCTATAACTTTAGTAATATCGCTCAATGGCTGAACATCTAGCAATGCTCCTAACCTGGGCAAAATGGATTTTCCCGCTGACGACCCAGAAATAAAAAAATGTGTAAACTTATTCTTGGTGAGTATTTGCTGTACCAAGGGGCTCACTTCCTCTGCTAGGTAATGCTCATATTGAGGCCCGCCCGCTTTAAGAACCTTGCTTACACCAGAAATCTTCGCTGCTTCCTCGGCAATCTTGGGATCAACAACCAACGCAGTTATCGGTTCTCCTATCTGCGTTGCTGCAGTTACAGTGGAGAGCGAAGCTGGGTTGATCTGGGTTCCAGAACCCTCAATCAATACCAAGCTATCCCTCAAGTATCTAGATGTAGAAAATAATCTTTTAAACATTGATTGATGTTTCCACAAGGTATGTCGATATGTTGTTGATGATCTAGATAATTTTTTTTTTCTCCGAAAAAAAAAAAAATAAAAAGACAACTAACATCACTTATAAATCACTGCCTATATTATTGCCTACATATTATTGCCTACATATTATTGCCTATAAATTACCACCTTTATATGACACTACGTCCGGGATTGCAGGCAAGTCCCCGGATTACGAGCCCTACTCCAAGCATACGGCCAATTTCAAGAAAGAGAGTAAATGTTACTGAAAGGCTGGGCCTTTTGAATAAACTCGATTCTGATCCAGATGAGACTGATGATGAGCAATGTTCCATCAACTATAGACAATACACACCTATTGCAAAAAACGACCTTGGATGGAGTGAGCTACTTCCTTATTATTTACCGTGCTTATCATGGATAGGCAAGTACAATTTTAGATACTTTGTTGGAGACTTGATTGGAGGATTGACTCTTGTGTTTTTCCAATTGCCTTTATCCTTATCCTATGCATCAACGTTAGCCCATGTTCCAGTCATCTCAGGTTTGTACTCATTGGCACTCTCGCCCTTGATCTATTTAATCTTTGGTAGCGTGCCGCAAATGGTTGTTGGCCCCGAAGGACCTATATCGTTGATTGTAGGACAAGCAGTAGAGCCTCTCCTCCACCATGCAAAAAAGAAAAACTTGGATCCATTGGAATATGTAGCAACCATCACTTTCATTAGTGGTACAACCTTGTTAGGTTTTGGTTTGGGAAGATTCGGGTTCTTGGATAATGTTTTAAGCCCCTCACTTCTCAAAGGGTTCATCTCAGCCGTTGGGTTTGTTATGATACTCAATTCGCTAATTGTGGTTTTGGGACTTGAGGAATTGATGAAGAAAATTTCAGACGATCCATCGGAAATGGATATTCATTCGCCCTTTGACAAGATGGTGTTTTTAGTGAAAAATATTAACCAGTACAATCATTTGAGCTTGAAAATCGGTGCAGTGGGTTTTGCGATAATTATGGTGACCAGGTTTTTGAAAAAACGGTCCCGCAATAAAACTCTAGTTTTCATTCCAGAGATTTTGTTGGTGGTTGGCGGTGCAACCATTCTTTGCCAATATTATCAATGGGATCTTCAAGGGATCGATGTGATTGGGAAAATCAAGGACAGCGGGAATTTTACTATGTACAATCCTATAGGTCTGTGGAAACTAGTGAAAAAATTTGGCACGTCCGGTTTTCTTTGTGCTGTATTGGGCTTTTTTGAATCAACTACTGCTTCAAAATCACTTGGCTCTAGTTTTGACTTGCCAATCTCTTCAAATCGAGAACTTGTTGCACTTGGAAGTATCAACATAATTGGATCTATATTTGGCGCATTACCGGCTTTTGGAGGATACGGCAGAAGCAAGATTAATGCAATATCCGCCAAAACAACAATGTCCGGGGCAATTATGGGTGCAATGACATTGTTTACAATCCTGTTTTTGCTAAGATTCCTATTCTATGTTCCCATGTGCATGTTGAGCGTGGTCATAGCTGTTATTGGAATTCTGTTAATTGAGGAGGCTCCATATGAGGTGGCTTTCCACTGGAGAACCGGTGGATATGACGAATTAATAACTTTCACAGTAACGGTTTTAACAACACTATTTTTCTCAATCGAAGTTGGTATTGCTATGGGGTTGGTTTACCTGTTGATCAGAGTAATCAAAAACTCCGCAGATTCAAGAATCCAAATTCTCGGGCGAATCCCCAATTCAAACATGTTTGTCAATGCAGATATCCCCATGCGTCCTAGAATCGGTTCGCAAGTGAATATATTCAATGACTTGAGACAAATGCAATTGAACAGTGAGGTAATTGAAGAAGTTGAGGGCTGCTTAATCATCAAAATTCCTGAACCTCTCAGTTTTACTAATTGCAGTGATCTTGTTACAAGGTTGAAGAGGGTCGAAATGTATGGCTCGACAAAAGCACACCCGGCGCTGAAACGGAGCAGAGGCTTGGAAATGACCAAATATGTCATATTTGATTTGGCTATGATGAATTCAGTAGACTCATCTGCCGCGAAAACATTATATGAATTGTTAACAAACTATAGAAGCCGTGGTACAGGGTTATACTTTGTAAACGTTTCACTAAACGTGAGGAAAACTCTACAACAAGCTGGTATTAGGAACTTACTCATGGATGATCTAGTCGATTTAAAGTATTTCGACATTCAAGACTTGGCCACGACTAGTGAAGATGAAGTGATTTGCAGGTGTAAAGACTTGATAGACAATGGCGAGCCCTATTTTCAACACATTCTGGACGTTTTAAAATTGATAGACTGCTATGAGACAATATTAGGGGAAGTATAGTAAATAAAAAGCAATATATATATATATATATTTTGGTACTTTTTTAGATTACGCGTTTTTTTAAAGATACAAATACAAATACAAAAACAAAAACATTCAAAAATAAAATCAACATTTGGCCCTCAACATTTGTCCCTCAAAATTTGTCCCTCAACATTTGTCCCTCAACATTTGGCCTTCTTCAAGGTATGACTAGTGTTGTGTTTACACCTATAGGGCAAAGGAATCCGGGAAAATTCCAGGTCCTACACAGCTATCCTGGAAAACAGCTGCCTCAGTTTAACCAACGGAATCTTTTCCACGAATTGAAGGATAATGCAGTTCTCACCAATGATAGTACTTTTGATGATACCGAGGATATAACGCAGGAGATGCAGGAAATGCATAAGCAGAAGCAGCAGCAGCAGAAGAAGAAGAAGACGATGACAGAAGAGAGGACGAGGAATAACCCGCGGTTACAGAGTAATTTTGAAAATACGGGACTTGGAGTGAAAGAGCTGGAATCAATAATAAGGAGTCTTAGAGCAGAGAATCTCAACTTGAGGTTTAAGTTTAAAGAGCTATTACAATCGATACAAGTAGAGGATAGAGATTGTTATGCCGAGAACTCAGAACTCAAACATAGGCTAGTCAAAATGGAGGAAGCTCTTGCGGATAAAGGAGATGATTCTGAACTCATTCAGCAATTGAATGCCAAAATCAAGCATTTAGAGGAAGATCTTGCGGATAAAGGAGATGATTCTAAACTCATTCAGCAATTGAATGCCAAAATCAAGCATTTAGAGGAAGATCTACGTCATACAAATCAAAATAATCTGCACCACCACCTCCACAACAACAACATCATTCAAGATTTGAAAAATCGGTGCTCATCGTTGCAGGAGAAAATTGCAAATTTGGAGAGTGAGAACCATCACCAGAGATTGAGGATCGAGGATATTCTTTATAAAGCGGCTGAAGACAATAGGATGGTAGAGGATTTGGGAGATCAAATCAAATCCAATACTTCCAAGCATGAGAAGGAAGTAGAACAACTTAAGTTGTGGCTAAATACTGCAGAATCAAAACTATCGTCAGCACAGGAAGAAATAAAAAACTTACAGGTCCTGGCTACTCAATCCAACAATTTTGAGAGGGAGAGTAGCGAGTTATTAACTAAACTTCATAACACGGAGATGGAAAATCAAATGCTCTCTAAAAAGTTAAGAGAAAAGCTGAATGAACTAGATAGTGAAAAATCAAAACAAAGGAGCTTGACTTTGGAGATTGAACATCTCAATGCTCGCCTAAACAGGCAAGGCCTGTCACATAATTCATTAAAGGAGCTAGAGCATGAAAAAAGGGAACTAATTAAACAAAACAACTCTTTAAACAGTAAGCTAAATGATATCTCAAGGGAAAATGAAACACTCAAAAAGAAACTAAAGATGACTACAAACGAATTGAGTCTACAGTCTTCACATCAGAAGGTATTGGAAGAAAAGATACAAAAACTAGAAACTGATGCAATAAGACCACCAGACAATCGAGAAAAGGTTCATTCTAACGAGTTGGATAGGCTTAGACAGAGTCTTCGAAAACAAGAGACTTTAGTGGACGATTTACAGTTTAAATTGGCCTCAAAGGAAAATCAAATTGAGCAGCAATCAGGTGACCTAGAGCAAGTGCAGTTTGCAAAATCCAAATTGGAAGACGTAAATAACGAATTGAGAGACGAAATCCACGCCCTTACCGTTGAAGTGTCGCATCTTGAGAAATTAAACAGCTTGTATTGTGATAAGGTAGATGAACGATCAGTTGAAACAGAACTAAGAAACAAGGTGCGCGTGTTACAGGATATGATTGAAGATTTAGAAGAGGAAAAACAGGAGCTTGTTAAAGACGACAAGCAACTTTACAATGACAACGTCCAGCTAGTCAAAAGGATCGAAGAGTTGCAGAAGATTATAGAAGAATTGGGTATTTCAACGCCCGAGGAGTTGACTGAATTTGAAATTGATTTGAAAAAGGACATTTTCGATTTGAATAGTCGAATCAAAGCAAGAGAGGCAGCTGTGCGTACTTTGGAAACCAAACTTCAAAAGGCTCAAAACGATAGACATGTTATCGAAAGGGAAACAGAAGAAGAGTTGAGAGAACTTTATGAGAAGCTTACTTTATCACAAGATGAGATTAAAATTCTTCAAAGAGATTTAAGGGATTCTGAAATGGATTTGAAGCAAGCCCAAGAAGACTTGGTCAAGGTGAGCAACGAGTTAAAGGTATCTCAAGAGGAGTTAAAAACATCTCAAGAGGAGTTAAAAACATCTCAACAGAAGTTAAAAACATCTCAAGAAGAGTCAAGAGTTTCCCAAGAAGAGTTGAAATTTCTACAAAATAAAATGGAAAACAAGCCCGAGCTGCCGCCGGCGATTTTAGATTATGTTGAGTTTCAGCTCAAAACCACCAGACAGGATTTGGATCGAGCCAAGGACGAGATGAATGTAATCAAAGAAAAACACGTAATGGAAGTGCAATCCATCAAGCAAGAGCATGAGCTTCGCGAAAATGAGCTAAATTCAAGGATTAAAAAGTTGAACGAAAAAATACAATCTAAACAACTCGAAGTTGAGAGTGCCGTTAAAGATTGCCGAAAATTTGCCAACCAAATCGTAACCTACCGCAGTAACTTGAAAATTGCAACGGACATTGAGTTTGCCGAGTTTCTTAAAAACGAAAGCACATATTTTAAACAGCGGTACAAAGACACTCATTACAAAGCAGACGATTTCAAATTTCTTTACAATTTTGCTATAGATTCAATAAAAAAGAGCCAGCTTAACGAAAATGAGAGTTCAAAGTTGGCAAAAATAGGCGTATACCCAGGGTACATACTTGGAACCGAAAAAAGGCCTAAGCTCACTTTTAAGGCATTGGCACAGTTTGTACTAGCCGCAGTGAGAATCGAAAAGAGATGGCAATATCAAAGTCAACGGTTCCATAAATTATGGAAAATGAAACGAGAATTGGATATCGCAAGGGTAAAGTATAAGTAAGTATATGTAATCACAAGAGAATATAAAAAAAAAAAAAAACAAAAAAAAAAAAAAATTATAACCTATTTCTCTCTTACTCGCTACAAAAGGTTTTTCTTTTTCTCCCCCAGCTATTGAAAATAAAGCAAAATGAAGGAGGACCCTTTATCGGAAACTTCATCGTCGTCTTCGTTCGTTCCTGTTGAGCAGGTTCGTCTTGAGGATGCGCTACAGATAATTGATGAGGAAAAGCACTTCAATAAGGATATTTTGTCATACATTAGTAGGACATGTCCAGCCAATGTAGGCCATAATTATCATATTGTTGCCGTGTTTGGGTCACAATCAACTGGAAAGTCTACTTTACTTAACAATTTGTTCAATACCAATTTCGATGTTATGAACGAGCAAAGTCGTCAACAAACAACCAAAGGAATTTGGCTAGCCCAATCGCTGCTCTTGACAACCACGTCTGGGCGCGCAATTGGCAACAACAACAGCAGCACGAAAGACGGCAATGGCAACTCAAACATCATTGTTATGGATGTGGAGGGTACAGACGGTCGCGAAAGGGGCGAAGACCAGGACTTTGAACGGAAAGCGGCGCTATTTGCGTTGGCAACGTCTGAAGTTTTGATTCTCAATATTTGGGAACACCAAATAGGATTGTATCAAGGTTCAAATATGGCATTGCTAAAAACAGTGTTTGAGGTCAATATCACATTATTTGGGAAAAGCAAGTTGGACTCAAAGAACGACCACAAGGTTTTGCTTTTGGTGGTTATAAGAGATCATTTGGGCAACACTCCGATTGAAAATTTAGCCGCAACAGTAACCACTGATTTGAAGAAAATGTGGGATGCCTTGGTAAAACCTAGCGAGTTGGCACATTTGACTTTTGAAGATTTTTTTGATATTGATTTCCACGCATTGAATCATAAAATTTTACAACCAGACCAATTCGCAAGAGGCATAGCAGAGTTGGGAGACAGACTCATCGATGGATTGTTCAAGCCAGAATACCATCATAATGTACCTATTGATGGGTGGACACTATATGCTGAGAAGTGCTGGGAGCAAATCGAAACCAATAAGGACTTGGACCTTCCAACGCAGCAGATTTTAGTTGCCCAGTTTAAATGTGACGAGATTGTTGAAAATGTTTTTGGTGAATTTGTAAACAAGTTTGCAGAGATGTTTAAGGATATTGAAAAGGAGGAGGAGGAGGAGGAGAAGAAGACGAAGAAGAAAGAGCATGTTTACGAGGATGTTGGCTTGCTATTTGTTGATCTTAGGAACGACGTTTTGGAAGAATACGATCATTCAGCTGCAAGATATAACCAATCCGTTTACCTGCAAAAGAGGTTGAAACTTGTATCTTTGATAAATAGCAAATTCAAGGAAGTTTTTGATGCTTACTCGAAGCAGCTTATCCAGTCTTCACTAGACTCGTTTGAAAAGAACCTTGTATCATTAAAGGGCAAGAGTTTTGCAAAGGAGTCCGAGAGGTTATCGTCAGAGATTGCCAGAAATGTTGAACAGAATCTTGGCTTTATATCTTTAGAAGGTACATTTACCATTGACGAGTTGGTTAACAAGTTTCAAACCGATATTGAAACTATTATCAAGAAACAGCAGAAAGTGGAGTTGAACAATATTGTAAACAAAGCTATTAAAAAATTATCAACAAATTTGTTGAAAAACATGCAACTCCAATTGAATGATCCCGATGAGAAAACTTGGGACAACATTCTCAATAGTTTTAATCAACTTGTTGGCAATTTTTGTTCAAAATATGAGAATGATTTTGACTTGAACACGTCACAAGAAGAAAATGAGAAAGCTATGAACAAGTTTAAGTTCCTTTCCTGGAATGCATTTTATGAAATAATTCACAAGCTTATATATAAAGAGAAAGTAGTGGAACAACTTCAAAGTAAATTTGACGACAAGTTTAGGTACGATAACAAAGGTTTACCTAGGATGTTTCAAGACTCTAAAGAGTTGGAAAATGTATTTGGCATTGCCAAAGAGTATGCTTTAAGAATCTTACCAATTTTGACCATTGCCAAATTGAGCGACGATTCTGAGATTGTTCCTGATTTTGACATTTTCAATAAACAATTGAGAAGGGAATATTTGGGTGTAAAGAGTCTTGATATGGTTAGTGACGATGAATATGGTGCAGAAGAAGATGAAGATGACGAAGAAGACAAGGAGAGAAATTTCAGCGATATTATCAGTGAGACGGAAAAGGCGCAAATATTAGCCAAATTCAAAAAGGAAATTGATGCTAAATTTGTGGAAACGAAGCGTTCAATAGTTCAACATATTACTCAGATCCCATACTATATTTATTTGATAATTATGCTATTAGGATGGAATGAGTTTATGGCGGTTATTCGAAACCCATTCACCTTTTCATTGGCTATTATTTTTGGCGTGTCATTGTATGTGTTGTACACGATGAACCTTTTAAAGCCAGCATTGGTTGTTGGACAAAGGCTAGTAGATGAAATTATAGTAGTTGCGAAAGAGAAATTGAGGGAAGTCTTGGTTGATGATCACTTGGTACAAGCACATAATCTTGATAAAATGACTGGTACAATAAGAAGCCAATTAAAGGAGGATGAAAAGGAGGATGAGGATGAAGAGGTGGTGGTGAATGAGGACAAGGTGACAGAAGAATCTATATAGGTACCATATAAGCTTTGATGGAATTACATTGGCAATAAACCCTAGTGTTGCTCCACTATCGAGCAGAGCTATATAGTGGCGGTGTAGTCAGTGCTGCTCCACTATCAAGCAGAGCTATATAGTGTGGCTCGATAGTGTCGGTGTAGTCAGTGCTGCTCCACTATCTCGCTCTGCTCGATAGTGTCGCTCGATAGTGTCGCTCGATAGTGTCGCTCGATAGTGTCGCTCGATAGCGTCGCTCGATAATGTCGAACACTCCTTATTCTTTATTACTTCTTTGATTGCAAAAACTACAATAGGAAAAAAAATATACTAAACTATTAACCGAGTCCAAGAAGAAAAAAGCTTTTAATTTTCCGATTAAAGTTTTTTTTTCGTAGAAAAAGCGCCGCACTCGCAAATATAAGGATCTTTTTTTTCCTATCATAACATAGTTACATTACTTTTGAAGAGATGCTTTACCCCCCCCCCAGAGGCGTATCTGGCCAAGAACGAAGCAGAGTCAGTTCATTTTTCATCTTTCGGAAAGTTGTGAAAAAGAAAACGAGCGATGAAGCTTTGAAAAAACGCTTGGAAAGTAAGGGGGGTTACCTTTATGGGACCGGAATATCCAACTCCGCATATCACGAGACAGCAGGACCTAGCGATAAAAAAAAAAAAACAATCTTAATTTTAATTTTCGTATTGTAACGTCATTACAATTGTAACACAATGACTACAACAACGGCAACATGTAACCTAAATTTTATCAAAAAGACAAGTGCCGAATGAATACAAGACTCAGCTTAGAATTTGGGTGGCTTTTTTTTGGGACCATAAGCCCCCGAGAGTTAAATAACGAGGATGTTGTGGTGACAATATTAAGTTCCCTATTAAATCAAGTGAAATCTTTCACCACTTTATTTTATACATATTTTTTTTTTTTTTTTATGATTTCATTATTTCTAAGATGCCTTACATCTTTACTATCTTATATTTTTCCTTTATTTGCATTTAGATGACAATGTGGGGGATGGTGTCAATTTTAGTTTGATTTTTTATTTTATTTTATTATTTGTTTTTGTATTTCTTGTTCCTCAGTGGAACATGATTTGCATCTTCCTCTATCACCTCTGCAAGTATCATCAGTATGCATTTGTTGGGCCACAAATAGTGTCGTAGTGAATCCTTACTACTGTTATACAGTAAACGCAAATCTTTTTTTTTTTTTTTTCTTTTTTTTTTTTTTCTCGCGAGATGGAAATTAGAAAAATAGCCTCTGCAACATCAGTACAGAAAGATCAAGTTAACTTTTTTATGGCATTGACAGTAATGCAAAAAAAGAGTTTTGAAAAAGTCTATTCCTATTTAAAGGAAAGAGAGTTTCCCCTTCAACGCTTTCACCTCTAATAACCCCACCTGGTGCTCCATTCGTAATTCCACCAACCTTAAAAATTGTTCCGGCGTAACCCGTATTAAATAAATTTTGACTTTTGGCACATATATAGTTTATCGAAACCCGTTCTTTTAAAAATATATTTTACGATGCTTCACGATACAAGTTCTGCTATAGGAGACAAAACTCATATTCAGAAAAAGGCCGATCTCGATCCAGTTGTTGATGTTACAAAGAAATTTGCTAGTATGCCCAATGAACCAGCTAACGATTTATCCAACGAAGAGGAGTATAAATCGTTAGCTTCTTCAACAACGGGCTCGTTTTTATCGTCCCCTAGACATTCCCCCGTTTCTACTACTACTGAATCGGAAGAAGAGGAATCTAATTTATTGGAAAAAATTGCTGAGTCGTTTACTAGTCCCTTAACGCAAGAAAACTTGACCATTCAATCACAATTATTACTAAACGATTTTAGAAGGTCGTTAGGGGAAAATGGAATTTCTATGGTTCCAAGTTATAATTTGTCGCCAGATGGTAGTGAACATGGCCAATATTTGGTTATCGACTTGGGCGGCTCAACTTTGAGAATCGCCGTTATTGATATCTCGCCAGATTTGCAGCGTTCGAGAAGTGAACGTGTTCATATTGTTCTTGAAGAAAAGTGGATCATATCCAACGAGTACAAGAATATCGACAGGAATTTTTTCAAATTCATTGGGTCAAAGATTATGGAGATTTTGTCAAGACAAGATCTCATTAAAAGTTCAAGCTTGATTAAAACTGGTATGACATGGTCTTTCCCCTTGGAAACTACTAGCTATAACAGTGGTAATATTCGTCATGTTTCAAAAGGTTACACACTAGATCCAGAAGTTTGCGGCAAGGACTTGAAGTTCTTGTTGGAATCTATTTTACATGATGAATTTGGTATCAAAATCGATGTTAGAAGTGTCATGAACGATTCAGTCGCGGTATATTCTGCAGGATCGTTTTTAGATGATAAATTGATATTGGCAATGGTTTTGGGGACAGGGTTCAATATGTGCTGTCCATTGAATGCCGATGCCGAAAAGATGCACAAGACAAAATTAATCGATGACAAGTTGTTATTCAACACTGAATTGTCCTTGTTTGGCGAAGATTTGTGTGATTGTCTTGGTACAAAATATGATGCGATGATTGATAAAAGATTACAAAATTTCAAACACCACTTCAAACCATACACAATGCTTGACCCCGAGGATAACACTGCGTTCCAACCTAATGAGTTGTTAACTAGCGGGAGGTATTTGCCAGAAATATCCAGATTGATAATGGTGGATCTTTACAATAAAAAGGAATTATTTTCACAATATACTCCAGAGGAACTTGGCAAAATATTGAATGTTTCATATGATGGATTTGAAGGAGAGTTGATGTGCTTTGTAGATGAAAACAGCGATTACGAAGAAATAAACAAAAAGTTTCTTGATTGTTATGGATGGTCAAAACCAGTTGAAAAATCAGATATCACAAAGATCAAAACCATCACATCGTTTGTGATCAAAAGAGCTGCATTCATTGTTGCAAACTCAATCATTGCATTTTTGAAATTATTACTGGAATATAATACAGATAACAACAAGATTGAAGGCTTAATTACCATTGGATATGTTGGATCGGTATTGACATATTTCATTAATTACAGAAATATGGTATTGGACTATGTTAATACAAATGAAGAGGTGAAAAAACTTGGTTGCGAAATTAAATTAGAATTGATTGAAAACAGTTCGGTGATAGGAGCAGCAATAGGAGCAGCCTTTTACTCAAAGGACTGAGAAGAGAGATGATGATGATATAAAAAAAAATTATGATGATGATATATATAGATTTTTATAGATATTATATTCCTTTTATTCAGTTTAATAGTTGGGGGAAAGGGGAAACAGAAAACTTTAATACATAATGACCATTTTAACTTTAGCATTTTTAGGTTTTGTTATCTTTGTTACCATTTCTTTTTTAGTCACGTGCCTACAAGATATTAATAATTAAGAGTCAAGTCAAAAACTAAATCAATCAATCATCATCATCATCATCATCATCATCATCATCATCATCATCTAATTCTCATAAACTATATATAAAAACTAAAATACTCTATAATTTCGATTTCAATCCAGCAGCAGCATTGTCGCATACAATCAAAACATTAGGATGCTCCTGTAAGTAGCTAGAAGGGAAGTCTGGGTTGCTCTTTTTACCGTGGATAGTCTTTTCCAAAGCAAACCTTTTGTTCTCTCCCAAAACAATTAAGGCAATTTCGTCCGAATTATCCAAAATAGTAGATATACCAACACTAAGTGCTGTTTTAGGCACTTTACTCAAATCGTTGTTGAAAAATCTGCAATTGGCCTTGATTGTTGATTCAACCAAGGTAACTTCCCTGGTTATGCAATCTCTTGTGGAACCAGCTTCATTGAATGCCAAGTGGCCTTCTGGACCCAAACCGCCCAAAAATAAGTGGATTCTACCATATTTTTTGATCTTGGCTTCGTAGTTTTTACACTCTTGCTCAACATCATTGGTCAAACCATTCAATATGTTTATATTTTCCTTTGGGATATCGATGTGGTTAAACAATTTATCATACATAAAGTAATGGTAAGATTGCTCATTTGATGGTGCTAAACCTATATATTCATCCATATTGAAAGTAACAACATGTCTAAAAGTAACCTTACCCTGTCTGAATGCCTCAACCAACCTCGAGTATATTCCCTCAGGAGAAGATCCCGTGGGTAAACCTAGCACAAATGGTTTTGATGCTGTTGGTCTAAAGCTGTTGATCTTTCTAATTATATAGTCAGCTAAATACTGGGATGCGTCGTCAGCAGATGAAAATGTGGCTTGTCTCATAATTTTTGCAGATGAAAGAACTTTAATGAAACTGACCCATTCTCATCCCCCTACAAGAGCATTCTCCTCCATTATATACAAATGAAGATAAGTTGATGAAATTGCAAAAAATAAACTAAAAAAAAAAAAAAAAAAAAAAAAAAAAAAAAAAAAAAAAAAAAAAAAAAAAAAGAAAAAATGAAATAAAAATATATGCTGCAACAAAACAAAACTATAAGGAGATTTCTTTTTTTTTTAGTTTAGGTGTTACCTTATGGCGATAGAGAAGACATACATGGAAAGAAAGAGAGAGAGAGAGAGAGAGAGAGAGAGTGTGTGTGTGTGTGTGAAGGTAAATATGTGAATGTGTGACTTGAACCAATCTAATGTCAAACCGAGATTGGACATGTAGAATGACCTTTTCAGGCAATCGCCTTATTGCTACCCGTAAGCTTCACTGTAACAAAGAACAAAAAAAAATGTAAGACGGATCAAAAAAAGTAAGATGGAGCAAAAAATGTAAGATGGATCAAAAAATGTAAGGTGGATCAAAAAATGCAAGGTAGAGCCAAAAACGTGAGTATCAAAGTAGGAATAAAGTGTTGAAGAAAAATAAAGTAGAAAAAAAGGTGATGATAAAAATTAATGGAATTGTGGAAGGATGTAACATTGGACCTTTTTATGGCATTTCAGCATAATTGGGTGATTGGGCCAGGCGGGAATCACACGGGAATAAACCGAAATCTTCCAGAGATGAAAGAGAAAAAAGAAAAAAAAAAATCTCAACATATGAGATCTCTTGATCTGATGTTACATTGAGTTCCAAACGATGTTACATTCAATGAATAGCAATTTTTTTTTTTTTTCCTATTGTATTTTACAACAGCACAGGTTGCAAAATTACATGACTCTAAGTTATTAGGTGCTGCTTAATGTAGTGGATTTCGTTTCTTTGATTATGTAACTTGTTCAGTAAGAAATTCTTTATCTGTGGGAGCTCACATGTGGCCTTGCACTTTTTCAATGATCCTTTTTTTTTTTTGTATTAGTTTAGTGGGAAAAAGAAATTGTCTTGAAAAGTCACTTTGGCAATATATATAACCAAATGTAATTCCCCCCTCTCTTCCCCCCCCCACCACCCATTGTACAGAAGAAGGTTTTTTTTTTGATTGATAACAGTCTATCAATCTTATTTTCTTTCTTTTTTTTTTTTCTCTCTCCTTGATATCAACATGTCTGTTACTAGATTTACAAACTGTCATTTAATTGACAACGGAGAGTTATACCAGTTTAGAGATTTATATTTCGATAATAATACTAGAAAAATATGCCATCCTCCTAGCACACCAAACTACATTACCAAGACAATTGATTTAAATGGCCAATATCTAGCTCCTGGTATGATCGATATACAAAATAATGGTATTTATGGGTTAAATTTTTCCAACTTAAAAGAGGAATCGTCACCTCAGGAGGTTACAGAATTTAAAAGATCTTATCAAGATGCCATGACGAAATATCTTTCATCTGGTGTTACTGCTATATGTCCTACTGTCACTTCCAATTTTCCAACCGTGTACTCCAAAGTTCTTCCCATTTACAAAAAAACAAGATCTTCGCGTCAAACTGATTCCCTAGGTGCTCATTTGGAAGGTCCCTTTATAAGCTTGCAGAAAAAAGGATGTCATCCTCCAGAAACTTTTGTTGATGCAAAGGAAGGTAAAGAAAAATTACTCCAGGTTTATGGTGGTAGCGATAACTTTTTTGAAAATGTCACCATCATCACAGCAGCACCGGAGATACCGGGAGTGTTGGACTTAATTCCATATATCACACAACATGGCTGCGTATATTCAATTGGACACACTATGGCTGACTACGAAACTGGGGTGCAGGCAATTGAAAATGGATGCACAATGATTACACATTTGTATAATGCTATGCCTCAACCCCACCACCGTAACGCCGGTGTTGTTGGTTTAATTGATACACCAGCAATTGACTCCAAGGATGTAACACCATATTTCGGTTTGATTTGTGATGGTGTACACGTCCACCCATCAATGGCAACCTTAGCTTACAGATCAAATCCAAAGAAATGTGTTTTGGTCACAGATGCTATGCACTTGATTGGTTTACCTGATGGCCAGTACGACTGGGACGGCCGGACTATAGTTAAAAATGGAGATAGAGTTTACTTGAAAGGTACAGACACGTTGGCAGGAGCTTCAACAACTTTACCACAATGTGTACGTAATTTGATGACTTGGGCCAACATATCCTTGGCAGAAGCTGTAAAGACAGCTACAAATAATGCTGCTTTATCAATAGGTCTTGAAAATGAACGTGGATTCTTGAATCCCGGTTGCGACGCAGATTTCGTCGTTTTGAACAATCAAGGTTACGTTATAAAGATTTACAAGTTGGGTAACGAGATTGCTTCCTCGGATGTGGATGTTGAAGATCAACTTCCTAGTGAAAGTAGAATCTCCGCCATGTTGTAAGATCCAGTTTTATAGAGTTTTCGTAGGTATATAAATTGTTTTATAGAAAATGATATGCAATGTATAAATAATTCTCTATTAACCTCTAGTGACCAGTGTTTTCTTTAGAAGGTATTTTGTCATCCATGTTCGGCGAGTATGCGTACCTTGAAAACTTTCTGATTCTTGCTCCAAAAATGAAGAATAAATATGGAATAGCACAGCATGCTAAGGAAATGAAAGCCATCAATGAACTTGCCCATTCATAGCCTAGGGTATGGTACATTTGTATAGTGAACAAGGGAACACAAGCACCCCAAATAGATCTAACAAACGTTTTAGCAGCTAATGCACTAGCAGCATAATGCTGGTAGGAGTCAACAATGTAATTGTTAGCTGGATTGTATAAACAACAGAAACCAAAACCAGCACCCAAACCAGAGAAACATGGTCCAGCCCAAGAAATGTGTGGATAAGAAGACCATGCAAATGCAAATAAACTGGCTGGAACAAACCAGCACGAAACCATCATTGGAATCAATCTCAACTCTGCTGGAGGCAACTCACCTCGATCCCTGTACTTTTGAGCCCTTCTATTGTAATCCTTGTTAAAAAGTGGAGCAGCAAGTGTGGCAATGATAACACCGACACCAATGGGTATAAACATGACACCTGTCAATGAAGCAGACCACTTTTTACCTTCCATATAAATAACCGGGTATGCGAAAAAGAACATGTACAACAATCCGTAAACAATAGCCATATAAATTGTCATCAAAAATACAATCAACTCAGACAACAAAATAAAGGGTCTCAAAAGTGATGTTTTGGCAACTTCAGCAAATGTCCTAACTTCAATCTCATTCAAGCTTCTGTATCTGGTATCTCCTGTATCCTTTCTCAACTTCTTGGCTCTTTTCTTCAACAAGATACCATGGTGGGTTTCAGGAACAATAACAATAAAGATTGCGTAAAAGACACCAGAAATGATCAAAAATGCCCAGTAAATCCATCTCCAGGTAGGTGCGTGATCACACAACAAACCACCAAAGATTGGACCACAAACAGGACCCAAGAATGGCGCAGCAGAGAAGATGGCCATAGCAACACCTCTTTCTGGACCTTCCCACATGTCTGCTAAGGAACCACCTATCAATGTCATGGGTGCACTGAACGAGATACCATCAATCAAACGACAGATGATTAAAGTACCAATGTTTCTAGCAGCACCACATGGAATGATAAATATAACAGCAACAAACAAAGTAACCGCGTATATCGGTTTTCGACCCACCTCTTCAGACATTGGTGCAAAAACTAATGGACCAACACCAAAACCAATAACAAACATTGTTACTGAAGCCAAAATAATAACCTCAGAAGAAACACCAAAAGTCTCTGCAGGTCTTTCTAAATCACCAGTCACAATTGCAGAACCAAGCGCAACAACGAAACATATTGCACCCAACAACCCAGTATACACCCACTTTATAGCATTATTCCAATTTCTTGGATTTTTCTTATCATGGTCTACCCACTCAACTATCCTTAATCCAGTTTCCATATCCACAGGATACTTCCAAGGATCATTATCATTAAAATCAGAGTGTGGATCAGCGTGAGTCTCGACTATTGTAAGATCGTAAGGTTGCTCTGCAGGTCCCAACTGACCGGCACCTTTGTGCAATTCAGTCAAAATTCTTTCTAGACCTGGATTATTAGTCAAGATTTTCTCCAATTCCCTCTCATTAGAAACGTCTGACTTTGGTTTTTCTAAAGCATTATTGTCGTTTTCCCCAGCATTGTAGGCGACAATATTAGTAGAGTTAATACTATTGTCATCCAAAGTTGAGTCGGACATGGCTGAAAAAGAAAATTAACGGTTAAATGAAATGGAAAGAAAGAAAAAAAAAAGAAAAGAAAAGAAGAAAACCAAACTGGAGAGTCTACAATGAAAGTTCACCTTATATTTATATTCTCAAAAGATGGACTCTAATGAATTTTTCATACCCGGTTATTAGACCCACTCGGTCGGTAAATATCAGAGCAAATGTGTAGTTCTTCTATTTTTGTATGGGGAAAAAAAATATTGTTTTAGCCGTTCTTGTTTTGTACCAAAATAAATCCTTTTGCTCATCGGAATTAACTACCTCTGGGTTTTGTGTCATTCAACATAGGAGGCTTTTCATAAATGTGGGCTTGAGGGTTCCCCCCTTAATACGAAAGTACTTCCCCCTCATTTCCCCGGAATTGATAATTCTATTCTAGACATTACAAGCCTTACGAATAGCTCATTAATTTACCCAAGAGATCCCACAATGATCTTAAAACGATTCAACTGTGATGCAAACAAAACCCATGTGTGCATAATGATTTGCAAATTAAAGAGAAAAAAAAAAAAAAAAAACGAAAAAAAAAAACGCAGCGGGATGAAATCATGTCCTAGTATAGTAGTCACTTGTCCGGCTGTAACTATGACAAATAGAACACAAACGTATTACACTTTTAGCTTATTTTTTTTTTGTCATTTATACAGTTTTAAAAGGCACGAAAAGACTCAAATTTGGTTTCTTTGCAGGCTCATGTCTTTCTTAATACATCTTCCAACGGTATCAATGAAAGAAAAACACAGTGGTTTTCAGGGAAGAGATACACTCATCACATATTTTATGTACTAAAAAACAATAAATATTTTTTGTACCTGCCAGGTCACAGGTACGTACCGTTTACTTTCTTACGAGAAGTAAGTTCAGAGGTATTGAGAAAGTATCGTCTACAACGAGGTCGAAGAAATAGTAAAAATTACCACATTTTTTTTTTTCGATCCAGAACTTGGTTAGTATAATCAGTTTCAGATATTACTGTATTACTTATCTATTTAAAATTTCCCTCTTCTCTCTATATATCATGATAAATTCATATGCCTAAATTTTAGTGACCAACGTCGACCACAACTGGGATATCACCTGGAGCTGGCGAGTATGCGTACCTTGAAAACTTTCTGATTCTTGCTCCAAAAATGAAGAATAAATATGGAATAGCACAGCATGCTAAGGAAATGAAAGCCATCAATGAACTTGCCCATTCATAGCCTAGGGTATGGTACATTTGTATAGTGAACAAGGGAACACAAGCACCCCAAATAGATCTAACAAACGTTTTAGCAGCTAATGCACTAGCAGCATAATGCTGGTAGGAGTCAACAATGTAATTGTTAGCTGGATTGTATAAACAACAGAAACCAAAACCAGCACCCAAACCAGAGAAACATGGTCCAGCCCAAGAAATGTGTGGATAAGAAGACCATGCAAATGCAAATAAACTGGCTGGAACAAACCAGCACGAAACCATCATTGGAATCAATCTCAACTCTGCTGGAGGCAACTCACCTCGATCCCTGTACTTTTGAGCCCTTCTATTGTAATCCTTGTTAAAAAGTGGAGCAGCAAGTGTGGCAATGATAACACCGACACCAATGGGTATAAACATGACACCTGTCAATGAAGCAGACCACTTTTTACCTTCCATATAAATAACCGGGTATGCGAAAAAGAACATGTACAACAATCCGTAAACAATAGCCATATAAATTGTCATCAAAAATACAATCAACTCAGACAACAAAATAAAGGGTCTCAAAAGTGATGTTTTGGCAACTTCAGCAAATGTCCTAACTTCAATCTCATTCAAGCTTCTGTATCTGGTATCTCCTGTATCCTTTCTCAACTTCTTGGCTCTTTTCTTCAACAAGATACCATGGTGGGTTTCAGGAACAATAACAATAAAGATTGCGTAAAAGACACCAGAAATGATCAAAAATGCCCAGTAAATCCATCTCCAGGTAGGTGCGTGATCACACAACAAACCACCAAAGATTGGACCACAAACAGGACCCAAGAATGGCGCAGCAGAGAAGATGGCCATAGCAACACCTCTTTCTGGACCTTCCCACATGTCTGCTAAGGAACCACCTATCAATGTCATGGGTGCACTGAACGAGATACCATCAATCAAACGACAGATGATTAAAGTACCAATGTTTCTAGCAGCACCACATGGAATGATAAATATAACAGCAACAAACAAAGTAACCGCGTATATCGGTTTTCGACCCACCTCTTCAGACATTGGTGCAAAAACTAATGGACCAACACCAAAACCAATAACAAACATTGTTACTGAAGCCAAAATAATAACCTCAGAAGAAACACCAAAAGTCTCTGCAGGTCTTTCTAAATCACCAGTCACAATTGCAGAACCAAGCGCAACAACGAAACATATTGCACCCAACAACCCAGTATACACCCACTTTATAGCATTATTCCAATTTTTTGGATTTTTCTTATCATGGTCTACCCACTCAACTATCCTTAATCCAGTTTCTACATCCACAGGATACTTCCAAGGATCATTATCATTAAAATCAGAGTGTGGATCAGCATGTGTATGAACACGTTTTACATCATATGGCTCTTCAAGTGGACCCAACCTACCTGCACCTTCTTGCAACTCAGATATTATTTTCTCTACTCCCTTATTGTTTGTAACCAATCTTTTCAATTCTTTTTCATCATTTTCACGTTCAGCCGAGTGACCCGTGAGAATTCTTGATAAAGCAGTTCTTGTCCTATGAAGACCTTCGTCGTGTGGGGGTTGCGTTGCATTACCGTAGGAGACAACTTTTTCCGAGTCTACACTCGCGTCATCCATGGTATTTGACTCTTGTGAAGTCCGTGACATATTCCTTGATTTTCTACTTACTAAAGGTCAAAAAGTTGATAACCTTGGGAGAGAATTTAGGTTCTCTTTTATATCAGATTAAAACCCTTATTATAGCTACCGATACCTAGTTCTAGTCTTGGCACAAGAAGGATTAACAATGCATATTCAATTTTTGATACAAAGTATTGTTCCCTAAGACGGCAATATAAATTGCAAATATGGTAAAAGTTTTAATTACGGCTGCATAGTGTATGCAATCTATGATTTTGTGTAATACTGCTTTCTGCCGATATCGGTTGTTATCTCACTATTGTCGGCAATAAATGATAGAGTGGTTTTTTTTTTTCATTTTTATTATTATTATTATTATTATTATCATTCATTTTTTCCTATTCCATAAGAAACGTTAGTGTACGTCATTTTATCCTTTTCAGCAAAAGCATCAATGAGTTTTTAGTACAATTAGTGAAGAAAGTTATGAAGTTTAAGAGAATTTTAGCGGAAGACGAATGTCTGTCAGTACTAGAGTAGGTAGCTGGAGCCATCAAATAGAAGATTCTCTTAACCATCGGCGTCAAAAACGTTTTAAACCATGACTTCACTTCGCAATCAGCCGTTTAGTTTACTTTTTTTTTTTTTTTTTGAAAAAAAAAATAAAAAATAAAAAAATTGTTTTGCAGATACAGCTCATACATTGACATAATGAGCAATTAAGGAATAAAGCTGGTTCTCCGCTAATTTCGCTAATTTTCTTAAATTGCTTTCTTATCTATCCATTACTCCGATTAGACTTCATTGGTAACGTCAAATTGCAGAAGTCTATGCAAATAGCAAAGTGCACATGAATAGAATAATTTCCAGGTGAGCTCAAAATGACTCTAAATAGGTAAGGGCGCCAATTGCATTATATGTTGAGGTATAAATCCGAATATCATTAAAGTAATGCACTTTTGCAACGATTCCCCCTTCCTCCCTGGGTCAATGTCATCAATAGGATATTAGCCAAATTGAGTATCAGGGTGTGTGTGTGTGTGTGGGGCATTTCTACGAGTTTGGTAGTTGATTTGGGTGGTTAATGGCTCTTCATCCACACTATCGAGAAGAGCGAGATAGTGTTGTAACAAGCTACTAGGTGTTGTTCCTATCACGTAAAGAATGGAATCCTTCAAGCCTTCGACACTATCGAGCAGAGCGAGATAGTGGAGCAGCACGTAATAGCATAGTGTTGATGTAGTCAGTGTGCTCCACTAAAACTACACCATCTGAGCCGATTATAATGCTATCTGAGCCGCACGGTCATATAGTATCTTTTCAGATCTAGGGTCAGTTGCTGGGGAATTACTTGTACATAAATTATTTTTCCTTTGTTTTTTTTGTTTTTCAAAACCGGCAGAATAATTGAGGGCCTTTACCATTCAACAAATATATCTTGGTTTCAAATCCTGCATTCAAAATTGGGACATTATGAAGAGCTACAAAAGTAATGTAGTTTTTACACATTGGGGTCTATTGGTAATTCCGGCCCATTCTCTTATCTAGTACTTTTCAATTCTTTGTATATATTTTGTGACCACCAGTTAAGCTTTGTTTGTTCATATATCACGATTTTTCTACTTTTTATTTTCTAAACAATTAGCCCGAATAAACTAATATTTGGTTATTCAAACACGCACACATACACAATATACACTGTACAAACTCATTAAAAGTTGTCAATAGAACCGGGGTTTTTTTATGGGGAATAAAAATATAGTGCAAACATTTTAATTACCCTTACGAGTAAAAAGTGATTTAGAAGCACAAGAGCTTGCTTATAAGTTGAGAAGAATAAATGGGAAAAGAGAATTGACCCTTGTTTGGTATTTGAGATGCCGGTATCACTTGATTTTCCTGCTCCACCTCCCTCTCCATGATGGGTCTGTATTTGCAAATGTATGTAGCTTGTGTGTGTATGAATGTATGTAGCTTGTGTGTGTATGAATGTATGTAGCTTGTGTGTGTATGAATGTATGTAGCTTGTGTGTGTATGAATGTATGTAGCTTGTGTGTGTATGAATGTATGTAGCTTGTGTGTGTATGAATGTATGTAGCTTGTGTGTGTGTGTGTGTGTGTGCGTGGAATAAGGTTGAAAAAATATACCGAAAAAAAACAAACTATAACGTGTAGCGCGATTTATTCAACGGCAGTTGTTTTACCCTAGTAGTTGCCCAATAGTACAGTTCAATCATGGCTACAGAGACACCCAATGATGAAGCAAAAGAGTTATCGGTCAAAGAAGAGTATCAATTATGGAGAAAGAATTGTAGATACATGTACGAGTTTGTGAGTGAGACTGCATTGACATGGCCATCTCTAACAATACAATGGCTACCTAACCATACAATTGAAGGTGGATTAATAAACACGAAACTATTGCTCGGAACACATACTTCAGGGAATGACCAAAACTACCTTAAAGTTGCCGAGACCCAGATTTCTAACGATGGAGTAACAAAAGCCAACTCAAGAATAAAGATTACGGAGAAGTTTGCAAATGAAGAGGAGATATGCAGAGCAAGATATATGCCTCAAGATACCAATATAGTTGGAACCATTAATGGTGCAGGTCGCGTCGATTTGTACAAGTTGGATAGCAACAACCAATCCAGTTTCTCAAGTTTCCGGCCGCATTCTGCCAATGGTTATGGTCTCTCTTGGAATCCAAACCAAAGAGGTTTATTGTTAACGGCGGCAGATGATAGATTAGTATGTGTGAGTGATGCGGAAGCTGGCAGTGACTCCTCACTCCTTTTCAAAAGCGCTGTACAAGAAGATATAGTCAATGATGCCAAGTGGCATTTCTTTGATAAGAATCTCTTTGCCTCAGTTTCGGAAGATGAGAATACGTACATTTTTGATTTGAGAAGTAAAGATGTCGTTACAAAATATGCTGCAAAAGGTTCAAAGGGAATAAACTCTTTGGCATTCTCCCCATTTTCACAAAACTTGTTAGCTATTGGGAGTGCTACTTCAAACATCAGCGTGCTAGACTTGAGAAAAATGAGCAGTAAAGGTACAACAGGACTAGTACATACAATGATGGGACATACTGACGGAATAACCTGCATGGAGTTTTCGCCACACAAAGATGGAATTTTGGCATCCGGCAGTCAAGACAGAAGATTGATATTATGGGATTTATTCAGAATTGGCGAAGAACAGCAACAAGAAGATGCAGAAGATGGATGTCCCGAACTCTTTATGATGCATGCTGGTCATACAGCAGGAGTAACCGATTTGAGCTGGTGTCCATTTAAAGAGTGGACCCTAGGCTCCGTAGCGGATGACAACATTGTTCACTTATGGGAAGTGAGTAAAGAATTGATCAACGAAGAGCATCCAGACGAGACCATCGATAACAACATTCTTGAATAACACCCCCTTCTTCTTCTTCTTCTTCTTCTTCTTCTTCCTTTTAGCCCTGGTCGTGTGACGTTATATAGAACATAATATTTTTCTCTTTCTCTCTCTCTCTCTTTGTTTAGGAGTCAAAAAAAAAAACAGTAGAGAAAAATGAGAAAAGGACGTAACTAAAATCAAGTCAAAAAGAGTAAGGAGATGTCAGAATTCCCACCGAACTTATCAATTAGACCGCTAACTATTGAAGATCTTGACCAATGTGTTGAACTAGAATCGAAGGGCTTTTCTGAAGAAGAAAGATGTCCAGCAGCTACTATGCGATATAGACTTACAGTTGCACCAGAGTTATGCTCAGGTTTGTTTATTAGAGACTTTGAATGGAAGTATAATTTACTTAATCTACCTGAAGTAGCCAGACAAGTTGAGCGAGAGCATGATGAATCGAAAAATCACAAAGAAATGGACGAAGAGGAGTTTCCAGGCAAATCCTCGGTGACTAAAGAAACTTTGGTTGGTCATATTATTGCTACAAAAATAGCGGGGACTAGAATCTCCGAAGCGTCTATGCAGTTGCCTACTGAAGGAGTTCAGGGGTCTGGTCATATTGAAAGCTCAAGAATTATTGGGGTGCATTCAGTAGTTATTGAACCAAAGTGGAGAGGTAAAAATCTAGCTGCTTTATTGCTCCATGACTATATACAAAAGCTATCAAATCAGGATGTTGGTGATCAATTGGTTTTAATTGTCCATGAGAAATTGATACCTTTTTATGAAAAGATGGGTTTCAGCAATTTGGGCGAGAGTGCCTGTAAACACGCAAATACTAAGTGGTATGACATGGCTGTTGATTTGGTTTCTACAGACGATCTTTAGAAACTTGATAATGATGAAATACTATGGTTAGAACACCGTTTTCTCCGGTTATATTCGTTTTACATGATACTAAAAAGAAAAATATTAAAAAAAAAAAGAAAAAAAAAAGAAAGCCCACCATTACCATCTAAAAGATATGCTACTACGAGAATAGGTTTTAATTTCCAAACTTCTCTTTAGAAGACAAAGGTTAGCAAATCTTGGGGACTCTACATTGAAACTCAATCTAACCCGTGTGTGGCCTAATCCTCACATAGAGTCTAGAGAAGTATCCAAAAAAAAATTGTTTGACTTAGAAACAAGCATTTCTTCACCTTGACTGAGGGAGAACTTCGACACAATATAAAACTAGAGGTGTACAGTTCACTGGTATTTTCCATCAAAATTTCTTCTAATTGTCTCTTTCTGGATCTCCTCACACTCATACACGTCCACATATACACACTTTTGCACCCTATTGGTGTATGCTCTTACCGATTGAAAAAAAAAAAGGCGCCAATATTGAGCGAAGCGAGATAGTGGAGCAGCACTGACTATACCTATACTATCGCTTCGCTCCCTGGTGTCGTTATCCCCACCACACTATGCACGTTAGATAGAATATATATGTGCATGCGCAGCACTGACTACACCGACACTAGCGACACCATCTCGCTTCGTTCGATAGTGGAGGAGCGAAGCGACAGTGAAAAAAAAAAAATATAAAATAAAAAAGGCCTTTTATTCACTTTCAAATCGATTCTATTAATTGAGATGTTTACGATTCCCGACTACGCCAAGAGACTATTCGACTCGGTTCCGTTAAAATCATACAAAGATGACACCGAATATATAAAGCCCCAACAATTTTTCAGCTTTGATTGTAAACAGCTGGCATTGGACATTGTTCTTGGAGTTTACAATACATTCCAGTATAAAGATTATATATTACCAACGGATCCAATATCACTATCCACTGCAATCATTTTAGCAAAAAAAAATGGCATGGGCTTACCACGCACATTGAGTAATAGTGGACCATGCGGTATAACGTGTATTCCGTTTCGTGGGTCTCCGTTCAATTCTCTTCCAATTTTGATAGCCGGAGCTGGCACTGGCATGGGCACTATTGAAAGTATAGAAAAGATTAACCTGAAGATAGCATCCAACAACTTCAGTAATGTTGAAGTAGAATTCATGAATGAATATGTAGATATGGTCTTGTACGATCTTTGGATATCTTGTTTATTGGTGGAGAAATTAGAATTGAAAGTGTACCAGCAACTTTTCGGTGTAGAGGATGGCATGGAATTGATGGACTTGAAGACTGAAATAAGGAAATGGAACAACTTTGAAGCAAGGCATCAGAATCTATTTGAAAAACTACAGAAACAACCTTATTTGAAAAATTTTTACAAAAGTGAATTAGAGCGGTTTACTGATAGGCTAAGTGGCATGGAGGACTTACTAGATTCCACTTCTGCTGAAGAAATGATTTTGGGATACAAACTTGCTGCTTTTGTTATTATTATTGATCAATTTCTAGCGTCAACGAAAATCGGAGAAATTTTATGTTCTAATCAATGCTTGATTGAGAAATGTTACAAGGTTTTGAATTTTGATTGATAATTACCCAATTACACATAAACACACATCAATGTATATATATATATATATATATATATATCTTTCCCAGTCAGTGCTGCTCCACTATCTCGCTTCGCTCCCTAATGTCGGTATATCTTATATTGTCGTATTGGTTCATCTTATAGCTAGAGAATCCACACCACCAGTTAGAAGCGTCTTTATATTTTTGTCAATCAACATTTCAGCAGTATCCGATAAATGCTTCTTTGGATCCTGTTTACCAACATACCTCGTCTTCAATTGCTCTTCTGACAACTCCTTCTCTTCTACAACTCTTTGATTATACAATTTCGCTATATTCACCATTTTCTGAGTATTCTCCAAGTTCTCAACTTCTTCATGAGTATAATTGGTCAACTCCAAACCTGACTGCCAGTTCTTCTTGTGTAAATTTAATAGCATGTTTGTTTCGTTTGATGTCTTGTGGTAATCGATGTTCAAGGAGTAATAATGACGGTTCAATCCATGGATCAATGCTTGAATGGATGGCTTGTTCAAGTGACCAACATTAGACGTGGACTGACGGGGCTCTTGACCCATCATCAAAATTGTTGTGTCTATCGTACGGAAGGCATCTATAACAACTTTCCCCTTGACCGATTGGATTGGGTCAATGACAACAGCAACAGCCCTCTTATTCAACTGCTCAAATGACTGTTGGGTGTTTACATCGACAGACGACAACCAGCACCCAAAACCAGGATGCGAGTGGTACCATCCGACAACCATCTGATCTCTTCCTGTTTGTCTGAGCATATCCATCATCTTAGTTTGAAAAACGTCATCGACTGCTTCAACTGAAACACCAGTACCAGACTGTGGCATAGCAAATACATCATGCACATGTATCGTAAAGTCATCTACAAACTCTCCCAACATCAATCCCATGACTTCCATCGGTACACCAGCTCTTCCGTGCTTCAACATCTTAAGTAATGCAAGTGAAGATACATAAACCGTTTCCGAATTGTCAATTGCAGGCCCATCGGTTTGAGGTGGCGCAGCACCACCAAGTCCACCGCCTTGTCCCAACAATCTTTGCAATCTTTCCATAATATAGTGTCAACCACAAAAACCCGCTTAAATAAGTTGTCTACGACTAGAAAATAGTCAATTACCTAAACCTTTTGAGTGGCAATTAACCAAACCAACCAACAAATCAACCTTTATGCCTTTTTTTTTTCCAGTACTTTTTTTTCCAACTAACTCACGTGATACACACGTGACTGAAATGGCATTAAGCAGTGCACGTGATATACACATGACTGAAAAATGATACTCAGTGATGCTCCACTATTGAGGAGACCAAGATAGTGTCGCTTCGCTCGATAGTGTCATTAGTCAGTGCTGCTCCACTATCTCGCTCTGCTCGATAGTGTCGCTCTGCTCAATAGTGTCATTAGTCAGTGCTGCTCCACTATCTCGCTCTGCTCGATAGTGTCGCTTCGCTCTATAGGGTCATTAGTCAGTGCTGCTCCACTATCTCGCTCTGCTCGATAGTGTCGCTTCGCTCAATAGCCTCGCTTCCCCAGTTGAGCCACGTGATATACACGTGATTGAAAAATGACATTTTTTTTATTTTTATTTTTATTTTTTTTTTTTTTTTTCGTTTTGACATTTCATCGAATGATTTTAGTAGAAGATAATATAGGGTTAATATAAGAATATATAGTTCATTTTGAGTGCGAAATAAGATGACTGCCGGTCCAGCTAGTTTAATTGGTAAAAAATATCCTTCTAAGAAGCATGCTGAGAAGGTGTTTTCCTATTTGAACAGTAAGAGTCCTGAAAAAGCGAAAAAAGCCAATTTTTTCATTTCTGGAGAAGATTTGGAATTGTACAAGTACTGCGACCAAACCAAACCGTTTAGACAAAATAGGTATTTTTTTTATTTATCTGGGTGCAATATTCCAGGTGCACATGTATTATACAAAAGCGAAGAAAATCAATTGATACTTTTCCTTCCTGATGTCGACAAGGAAGATATTATGTGGTCTGGTTTACCTTTATCCAAGGAAGATGCAGAAAAAAAGTTTGATGCTGATGAAATAAAATTCGTTGCCGACATTAAGGAAGAGTTGCTGAAACTCAAGACAAAAGCGTTGACCACTGACTTGAACAACTTCAATAAAGAGTTTTGGCTGTTTTTGGTTGAAAAGGATAGTGATTTTTTTTATGCTTTAGATGAAGCTCGTGCGTTTAAGGACGATTATGAAATCGAGTTGATGAAGCATGCTGCCAAAATTACTGACAATTGCCATTTGGCAGTCATGTCTGCCGTGCCCATTGAAACCAATGAGATGCACATACACGCGGAGTTCGCGTACCACGCTTTACGCCAAGGCTCTAAAAATCAAGCTTACGATCCAATATGTTGCAGCGGTGAAACGTGCTCCACGTTGCACTGGGTGAAAAACGATGGTGAAATCACCGAGGACAAAAGGTCTATTTTAATTGACGCTGGGGCAGAGTGGGACTGTTATTCCAGTGATGTGACCAGGTGTTTTCCCGTGAATGGAGATTGGACAAAAGAACACTTGGAGATATACAATTTGGTTCTCAAAATGCAGGAGGAAACATACAAGTTGATGAAACCTGGTGCGAACTGGGAGGATCTTCACTTTAAAGCACACAGAGTGTTAATTGAGGGATTTCTCGAATTGGGGATTTTCAAAAAGGAGTATAACGTCGAGGAAATTTTCAATGCTAAAGTTAGCGCTATGTTTTTCCCACACGGACTAGGTCACATGCTAGGTTTGGATACTCATGATACTGCTGGATACGCCAACTACTCAGATCCAGATCCGTTTTTGCGCTTTTTGAGAATAAGGAGGAAACTTGAACCAAACATGGTTGTTACCAACGAACCAGGTTGCTATTTCTCTCCATTCTTGTTGGAAGAGACATTGAACAACCCTGAAACTTCGAAATACATAGATAGAACCGTTTTGGATAAATACTGGTACATTGGTGGTGTTAGAATCGAGGACGATGTTTTGATCACAAAAGATGGACACGAGGTCTATACAAAGATCACAAAGGACCCAAAAGAGATTAGTGACATTGTCAAAGCTGGTATTCAAAAGGGAAAACTGGCATTTCACACTGTAGTATAGAAATAGAAGAGGAAATTATGTTAATATAAATAGATATCTAACTTTCTTTTGATCATCATAGCAATAAAAATAAAAGACCCAAAAAAAAAAAACCCGCAAGAGAAAAATAGAAAAGCTTTAACCGAATTTCATTAGAAACCTTATATACTAACAACAATTGTACAAACATATATATATATATAAATATATATATATATCGGGTTTCAACAAAGTATTCTCTGAAGATGGACGAAAATTATGATGTTATTGTTTTAGGCACAGGGCTAACCGAATGTGTCTTGTCCGGGATTCTATCGGTAGAGGGAAAAAAAGTATTGCACATTGATAGACAAGCTTTTTATGGAGGAGAGTCGGCATCGTTGAACTTGACTCAATTATATGGCAAATTCAAACCTTCTGCACAAAGACCCGAGTTGAAAGGGAAAGACAGAGATTGGTGCGTTGATTTAATTCCCAAGTTTTTGATGGCCAATGGGGAGTTAACCAACATTTTGGTCCATACCGAGGTGACCCGATACATTGAATTTAAGCAAATTGCCGCAAGTTATGTGTATAGAAACGGGAAAATTGCAAAAGTGCCATCAACCGCTAGTGAGGCATTGGCATCTTCTTTGATGGGTATTTTTGAAAAGAGAAGAATGAAGAAATTTTTGGAGTACATACAAAATTACGATGAAAAAGATGTTTCTACCCATAAAGGATTCGATCTTGACAAAAACACCATGGAAGAAATCTATACCTATTTTGGTTTAGAAAGTGGAACAAAAGATTTCATTGGCCATGCAATGGCTCTATGGTCGACTGATGACTACTTAAACGAAGTTGCTAGACCAACTTACGAAAGGATTTTGTTGTACGCGCAATCAGTGGCCAAGTACGGCAAATCACCCTATATTTATCCACTTTACGGATTAGGGGAGTTGCCACAGGGATTTGCTAGATTGTCTGCAATCTATGGTGGTACCTATATGTTGGACACCCCAATCGAAGAAGTATTATACGAAGGGGAAGGACCGGACAAAAAGTTTGCTGGGGTGATTACCAAAGAAGGTACAGCTAGAGCACCAATAGTTGTAGCCGATCCCACCTACTTTCCTGAATACGTTAAAAAGACTGGTCAAAAAGTTATCAGGGCAATTTGCGTCTTGGATCATCCTATTCCTGGTGCTGAGTTGGACTCTCTTCAAATCATAATTCCTCAAAACCAAGTTGGAAGAAAACACGATATTTACATCGCGGTCTTATCAGACGTCCATTGTGTTGTTCCAAAGGGCTATTATCTTTCAATTGTATCAACTATTATAGAAACAGAAACACCGCACGTTGAGTTGGAACCAGCCTTTAAATTACTCGGCCCTCGAATAGACACACTCATGGGCATTGCTGAACTTTATGAACCAATTGAGGACGGCATTAAAAATGGCATTTACCTTTCAAAGAGTTATGATGCTTCGTCACATTTTGAATCTACAACCGATGATGTGAAAGATATTTACTTTAGAATTACTGGAAAACCCTTGGAGTTGAAACAGAGACCAAAGGAAGAGGAAGAGTCTACAAACGTAATACCATAAGAGTCGATTCGTGAAAGCTTTTTCATATTAAAAAAAAAAAAAAATCGTTTTTGTAAAGCACCTCTTCCAAAATGTAGATTGGACTTCTTCTTCTTCTTCTTGTTATCTTTTTTTTTTATTTTTTGGTTTACGATCCTCTGGAAAATAGATTGTTGTTTCCTATAGATTTCTTGGGTATTTCAGCTTCAGATAGAAACTTAGCTTCAATGTGTTCACCAATTACTAATACGTCTCTGTTCAAATCAATCAAGCACCTATGTCTTCTCAACATATCCAAACCAAACAATACACCGACTGAGGTATCTACGATGTAAAACGAGCACGGTAATTCAATCCCCGTGTTATCAATTTCAATTGGAACACTGTGAATTTTACCGCCAATCTTTTGAGTACCAACACCCACCGCTTGTCCTTCAAACCTTTTGTCAATGAGTCTCGAAATTCCACACTTTTGTGCAATTTCCAAACTGATAACGGTCATCGCGGCTCCTGTGTCGACCATTGCGATTTGCTCTATACCGTTTATCTTCAACTTTATATGAAGCATAGTGACGCTCGTGAAACTTTCGGGACTTATGTCCCATGCTAGCTTCATATTCTCTTCTATAGCCTCTTGTTGAATCAACTCCAAAATCCGCGCTTGATTTTCTGGATTGTCGGGATCCTGCTGCAATCGTATGAGCTCCGCTTGGGTGGAAGATTCCTGCCTCTGGGTCTCTCTTACTTGTTCTATCATCAAATCTCTAAACTTTACCGGATTATTGATCGAGTCGTAAAGACTTGGTTGAGAAAATTTCACATTCTCAAGCGCCTGTGGGTCCGCTAGAAGTTGAAGTCTAATCATTTCAATCCTATTATTGATTTGGCTTTCAGGTGGAATAACGACACCGGCGTGGGTAGAATTTGCAACTTGATTGTGCAGCAGTTGCAGCGGCAGAAAAGCAGCTCCCTGTGACGATGTCTTGGACAAGGTCAACAAATCGTTATTCCTTACCCCAAGTTCTGCTAAAGTCTTGTTTGCCACCAATACTATACCATTTAAACTCAATTGTTGTTCACTCAACTCAACTCCAGTCTCAGCCAGCAAATACGCTTTAAAGTCTTCAAGCTGCAAAGAATCGGGGACATCTACCGACAAGATGTCACCACTGAAGTCTAAGGATATAGTTAGTTGCATACAAGGTAAAGATATGAATAATTCATTGAAGATAACTATCAAAAAAAAAAAAGAACACCTTTATAAAGAAAAAAAAGTACACATATATATATATACACTTATATATATATATATATATATATCAATGTATATATCGTTAAGGTTGGCTCTCTACACGATATTTTGTCGAGTTGAGTTCGGTTTACCGAGTGTTTCTCAATAACTCTACCTGCCGGCAAGCCATTTGACTTATGTATCTATATGATATTACTCCCACCCCACCTCCTTTCTCAATCATCTCCCGCATGAACTTCGGGTACTATCATAGCAATTTGTCCACCATTTAAAAGCATCTTCTTAGCGATTTGCCCACTCTCATCTTTGTTATTACTAGTCATTTGAACGTCCTCTAATACCATGTTAACATAGTCGTCAAATCCAATTAATGTTCCGTAGAATTCTTTATCGCTTGTCATTAGCACTCTCACCTTTTTCCCAATAGAGCGGTCTATTATTTCCAAGGGTAACACCTGTTGCGGTATCTCGCTGCTAGTCCCTTCCACTATTGGTTTCTCTTCTGACATAGTTCTCAACAATAAACAGCAATAATCTTTGCTCTTATAGAGTGTGGAAAGAGAGAAATAAAGAGTATTTCGGGTTTGATGAATTTTTCATCCTTCAAAATCTCGCGCGGTACAAAAAGATCAACGCTTTTTGACATTTTCTTTACTTGGTTCGAGGTTGATACTACATACTGCTCCACTAGCTCGCCTCGCTCCCTAGTGTCGACTATGAAACTTTCCAATTACTTTTGCTCTTCCATCCTTCAAAGTCAATTAAAGCTTGCATACACCCCCACTCTGTAATTTTGTTCTGCAACCACACTAAATTGACAGGTTTGGTCAAATAATCGTTACAACCAGCAGTTAATGCATTTTTTCTGTCAACAGATGAGTTTGAAGAAGCAGTTAGGGCAACTATAATAACAGGGGACCGGAAGATATTCGAATCCAACTTATCTTTCTCTGCCAAATCATGGCCCGCTAATTTTTGTATTTCGTTATCGTCAAATACCCCAATTTTATTCAATCTTTCTAGATGCCGTATTTCCTTAGTCGCCTCAATGCCTGACTTAACTGGTAATTGGATATCCATCAATACCAAATGAAACCCTCCTTTCTTCCACTTGTCAACTGCTTCTTGGCCGTTTTTGGCAATCTGATAATGTATTTTACGTTTCCTTAAAAATGCACCCAAAATAGCTTGATTAATGGCATTATCTTCAACCACAAGGACCGAGATCGACGGTAATACTTTATCCAATGCTGGGTCTGTTTTATCGCTTTTGTTACTCTTGGCTGACGCTATTGTTTTGGTGATTGTGCCCGCTTGATTTCGTTTAGTTTCCGTTTCTTGCTGTGTGGATGATCGAGATAGCTCAAACGAATCACCACCTTCTTGTTTGGATTCATCAAACTTGTCTACATTTTTAATTGTAGAACTCTCCAGAGACTCCACAGACGTCTCTGTAGGAGGTCCCTTATCTTCTTCCCCTTCTACTCTTTCCCCCTCGCCACGGTCGCCACGGTCGCCACCGTTGCTGTTGCTGTTGCTGCTGCTGTTGTTGTTGTTGTTGTTGTTGTTGTTGTTGTTGTTGTTGTTGTCTTCGTCGTCCTCATTCTTTTTCTTTACACTGTCGATAGCTTTTGCAACAATGCGCGGTTTCGATTTTTGAGGCGTTGTTGTTGTGGTGTAGTTGCTGGAGTTGTACAATGAAAAGTTTTTCGGCAATAATAAAACAGCTTGGGGATTAGCTTGTGAATTTGACTGATTAGCGGGTGCTAAGGTGCTTTGGGAAAAGGATTTTCTCGGTAGCAGTGAAGAATTATTCAATGCAAAAACGGAAGGCGAAGCTGAGCGCTGCTCTAGAAAAGAGGGGTTTCCAATTGAGTGCTTCGATTTCGTAGGTACATAATTTCTGCTTGTAGTTTGTGGACCTGATTGAAAATGCAAACCATTTGAAGCTGGTTGTTGATTACCGTACAAGGCTCTATTATGATACTGTGGCTGGTGCTGGCGCTGGTGCTGGTGGTGCTGGTGGTTCTGGTTCTGGTTCTGGTATTGTTTTCCAGAATCACCCTCTTTCCCATGTTCAATTCCAGTTTGATCAAAGTTCGCCAGCTTTGGGTACCCATTAAATGAATCTACTTCAGTTGGCGACTGCGGCGACAATGTCGCATGTTCAACACCCACAATCCACGCGTCCTTTATGCCCATTCCTTGCGGATATAGTACATCCATTAGCTGCCACACGTTCTGATCGGGTTCCAAGATAGCGCAATTATCACTCGTTTTGTTCTGCAAATATTTCGAGTATTGAGCAGAATTCAGGGTTGTTGTTTTGATGGCTTGAAGATCCACTTTCATCAACAAATTAGCTGCGTCATAGTACCTTCCAATCATATTTGGATACTTTTCCAAAACGAGTGATTTCAAATCGTCGACAATACTATCATTGTAGGTAACAATGGTAGTCGGATTCCCATGGGGAGTCTTGACCCACAACCTCTTTCGATAAGTCACATCCATGTATGGGGACGCCCACGAACTTGCAGATGTCTTTTGTGCGTTATGCGAGTCGCTGGGCCTTGTTGCATTTGCGGTATCTATCAGAAGAGTAGATAAATGATCACTGTAGCTGCCTTTCGAATACTTGTGCAACGGAGGTATATTAGCTGCTATTGGCGACAGAACACTAATAGAGTGCCTCGCAGCTTGTCCCATAGAAAAAGGTTTCATCTGATAAGGCGGCGCAAACTCTACACCGTTGTAAACGTGACCACTCATTGAGTTCTTTAATATTTATTCAATGATATCAATAGATGATATAGATCTCGTAGATTTAAGACAAAATTCATACTGTTGAATTGCGCGCGCATAAAAGCGAGAATTGAAATTATCAAGAGAAAAAAGATTTTTTTGTTAAAGTCATTCCCAGTCATCATCGTCATCATCATCATCGTCCTCGTCAACTTCATTGGCATTGGCAGTATCTTTGGACTTGGACTTGGACTTGGACTTGGAATCGGACTCTTTTACTTCCCCGGGATTGACCAATCGCTTCGTAGAAAGTTTTTCATAATTTTCTTCTTCTTCTTCTTCATCATCGTCATTGTCCCAATCAAACTCTTCTTCTTCTTCTTCTTCTTCTTCTTCTTCTTCATCATCTTTTCCTTTTTCTTCCGCTGCTTGTTTTCTCAAACTGGGAGTGGTCTTCTCCTTTTCTAGCAACCCCTTTCTTTGCTTATCCAACTCCTTCAACTTACTCTCATTCTGAAAATATCTAAACCAAAATGTATTATAGCTCACTTTCACAGGGACTAGTTCATTCATCGTCTTTGTTAAGGTATCAGGATATTTTTTCAATAAAGCTTCAATCTCACTGGTTTTCTCATCTGCATTGAAACCCTTAGCCTTGGCATCAGCATCGTCGCCCTTGCTGATGTAAAAAGTATTCGTTGTGTGAAGCTTAAACAAGTCGTTATCATAGCGACTCGTTCCATAATTGGCATACTGATTTAAGCTAGAATTGAATAGAACTTCACTTTCCTGCACGTGGCCATTGTCGTCTTGCACGTCTGGTGTCACGGTAACTATATTTGAAAGAAAAGATGTAAAGGAGGAGATATATTTGCTTGCCTCATTTTCAACTTTTTCCAACTTGGAGTCAATTATGTTCAATGCATTATTTGCACTCCGAGATATATCCTTGAGGTGTAGACGATCTTCGAGTTTCAACTCTTTCAAATGCGCTTCAAACACTCTTAAATTATCAGTAACATTTTGAAGATTCTTATTCTCTTCAATACCCTTCTTCATTGTATTCAATTGCTTGAGTAGACTCTCCTTGTATTCATCCAAATGATACTTATTCTGAATCAAGTGTGCATTGTCGGTAGTGCCTTTCCAAAGCTCTTGAAATTTAGACTCGACTAATCCATAAGCTTGGTCAATCTCGTTTTCTAAAGCCTCCATTGCTTTCTCAGTTTTCTCATTAGCCTCATTTTCAACTGTACTTTTGGACTTGTCCGCTATCAAAGAGGGAGGAATATCCTCCTCTGTGGAAATTGGATTCGCTGTCTCCATATCTTGAAAGTAATAATTTGTCTTTATTAACCGGTGTGTGGTGATTAACAAAGTTTGGTGTGTTTGTTCAATTTTCTTATATACGAAGAGAAAAGGAAGGAAGGAAGGAGAGGGAAAAGAAAAAAAACCGTTAAGGGGCTTTTTTCTTTAAATCTGGAGAAAACCCGTTAAACCAGGATTTAATTTATTTTTTCAAAAACTTCGACACTAAGGGACATTGGGTTAATTGACTAGAACGATAAACAAAACAAGGAGCTTTGCATCTATTCTTTCCCCCTCCAATGTCTAGCCTTAGACAAGGGTGTATACTCTCAATTAAAAATGCAAATTTCAAACCCAACACGCTAAAGAAGACTCCATTTTTATTCCAAAACCCAATCACCAATTTTCAAATCAGCCAGCCGTTAGCTGTGAAAAATGCCACAGTTCCAACAGAAGGGTTCCTGTCTTGGGTGATTACGGGCCCATATAAGTCAAACATGGTCAAGGTTATTGCAGGAAAGTATATTAGCTTTCCGCCGCTTTCGCGAACGTATCCATTGATTAATGAACCTGCTACCCAGTTGCAATTCTTGGACTTTAAGGATAAATCGGGATTAGATGTAGTCCATATGTCAGCGAGGTATGAGTCATTCTCATATAAGGGACAGTTGGAGATGAGCGATGACACAAACTCTGTGTTCAACTATATTGCCGGTTCATACAATTACAATGCGCAAAATAGGCAAATTGATCAAGAGTATATCAAAAAGTTGTTGAAATTGTTTAATTTAGAGCATCTTCAAAACAAATGGATCAATTTACTTAGTAATGGGCAGATGAGACGAGCACGAATTGCCAAGGCCTTAGTTCACAAGCCGAAATTATTGATAATTGATGATCCCTTTTTAGGTTTGGATCCTTCAAATACGGTGAATATCAGTCATGCTTTGAAAGGTGTATGTGCCGAGTTGAACATTAGTATAGTATTAGGCTTGAGACTACAGGATGAACCGCCAAAGTGGGTTGAAGGTATAGCTTACGTTGATCAGTCGGGGTTGCTGCATATAAAAGATTCAGATCGTTTGAATATAAAGGAGCACCACCACCAACAGAAACTAGCTAACCAAGTATCACTAACTGCAATTAGTCCACAAGAGCAAAACAATGTTTCGGCCCATATAGAGTTTGAGAATGCAAAAGTTTCGTACAAGGATGATGTGGTACTTTTCCAAAATTTCAATTGGAAAATTCCCAAAGGAAGTAAATGGAGAATCATGGGCGACAATGGAACTGGAAAGACTACATTGTTGTCGTTAATCACAGCGGATCACCCACAGAGCTGGAAATCGGTATTGAAAATAAACAATGTTTTACGAAAAGCAGGTTCAGGAGTAACCTTTTTTGATGTTAACAACAAGATTGGTATTTCGTCACCTGAATTACATGCATTAGTACCGCAACATGGTAAAACAATGTTGGAGATAATCTTGAATGGATTGGTTCCTAATATTGGCAATTCGAATTTCATGTATCGGCTTGACTGGGCAAAACTAGATCGAAATGCCCAAGAACGAGCAATGTACATCTTGGATCATTTTAAGAATAGGATTGAAGCCAGTGGCAATTGCCAATTTGGTGATTTATCAATAACGGATCAGAAGCTAGCTTTATTTTTAAGAGCTATAATTAAGAATCCAGAAATATTGATACTAGATGAAGCATTTTCATGTATGGAAGACGAAGATGTTATGATCAGATGCCACGAGTTTATAGCTCTGGACCCAATTCTTCAAAACACAACGCTCTTGGCAGTGGGTCATATAGATTGGGAAATACCAAAATGTGATTATTTGTTAAAGTTGTTGGGAGATGAAGATAGAAATTATGAAATGTATAGAGTAGCCTATTGACACTATCGACACTATCGAGCGAAGCGAGATAGTGGAGCAACATTGACTGACACTATCGACACTAGCTCGCTTCGCTCTATAGTGAAGCAACATTGACTGACACTATTTCGCTTTGCTCGATAGCGTCGACTGCTCGATAGTGAGTTTTATATAGCTTTAGAGAAAAGACAATAAATTTATGCAAAAGTTTACCTTGACGTGTTATATCGCCTCACTTGACATAGACCCAGTTCCACTACAAATTACTTTTTACTTTTGATTTGTATCTAATCAATTTCTTATTTCTTTACAATTTACACATCAACTTAAAACTCTTGCAGACTTGCATTGTAAATAGATATTCCGGACTGCAAGACTGCAGTGACTAATACTATCGAGCAGAGCGAGATAGTGGAGCAGCACTGACTAGTGACACTAGTGACACTATCTGCCACCAACACTCTAGTCACTTCTGCTCCACTAACGAGCGAAGCGAGTTAGTGTCATTAGTGTCGCCTACTCGCTTCACTCGTTAGTGTCGCCTACTCGCTTCACTCGTTAGTGTCGCCTACTCGCTTCACTCGTTAGTGTCGCCTACTCGCTTCACTCGTTAGTGTCGCCTACTCGCTTCACTCGTTAGTGTCGCCTACTCGCTTCACTCGTTAGTGTCGCCTCCTCGCTTCACTCGTTAGTGTCGCCTGCTCACTCCTGCTCCACTAACTCGCTTCGCTCATTAGTGTTGTTAGTGTTGCCTGCTCACTCCTGCTCCACTAACTCGCTTCGCTCGTTAGTGTTGTTAGTGTTGTTAGTGTCGTTAGTGTCGTTAGTGTCGTTAGTGTCGTCATGTCGTCATGTCGTCTACGACCCAAAAAAATACCACCTTCTTCTCCTATTCCACGCTACCAACCGTACATCCAATTTCCAAAGCAATACTACAAGTGGCACAACTCGGGTTACATAACCAAATTACAGATCATATTAGTAAAACTCTTCTCATTATTATTCTGGATCGTATTTATTACATCCTGGGGGGGGCGTCGAGCTGCTTTGACACCATCTTTAATCTTTTTCGTGTTTGCATTTCCATTTTCAATTTAAATTTTTTTTTTTAATTTTTTTTTTTTTTTTTTTTTTTTTAAATTGTTAAGAACTCACCATCAATTGGACTAACATATAGCTGTCTAGTACTGTTGTATCCCCCGTTTATCCCCACCTACTTGCCCTTCACGTCCTTGCAAGTATACTAGCATCAATTTTGATTGCATAAAAACAGCCCTTTTTTCTTCAAATTTTCTTTTTTTTTTTGTTTTGGGGGGGGAAGTCAAACGTATGTCTATATATTGAGTGAGATTGAGATTGAGATTGAGATTGAGAGTTAAAAACTATGCCTAATAAGCAATCACAAACATTTAAAGAAGTACATTACAGTAACTGTATACCCAATGCTCCGGTAGATAATAGGCCGCTTGCCGTTAGGAGCGAACTTGAATATGGAAAATTAAAGTCGGAAAAATATCTACACGTTTCAAAACATCCGATTGGTGAACCGTTACCAACTCCTATAGATGATGATCCTCCATATGTCATATACTTGTCAACTTATTTGAATTTCCTTATATTGATTATAATTGGTCACATTAGAGACTTTTTTGGTAAGATTTTCAAACCTCAAGAATACAAGCATTTGGTTGAAAAAGATGGATATGCCCCTTGGTACGATGGATTTGAAAGTTTTTATGTGCGTAGATTGAAAACGAGAATTGATGACTGTTTTGCAAGGCCTATTCATGGGGCTCCAGGAAGGTTCATTAAGTGCTTTAATAGAATCAGAGAGGGCAAAACTGGGTATTTATATGATGGTACTTCAAGGGAATGCTTGAACTTGTCTTCTTATAACTATCTTGGATTTGCACAATCAAGTGGAGTTTGTACTGATTTTGCATTGAAATGTGTTGACGAATATGGTACCTCGGGGTGTTCTCCTAGAGTTTATTGTGGAACCACGGACTTGCACCGAGAATGCGAGCGTATTGTTGCTGATTTCGTTGGTAAAGAAGATGCAATTATTGTGAGTCAAGGGTATGGTACAAATGCAAATTTTTTTGCTTCAATAGCAGATTCAAAGACATTGGTTATATCGGACGAGTTGAACCACGCTTCGATTAGATTTGGTATTAGATTGTCGGGAGCCATTGTTAAGGTTTATAAGCATAATGATATGAAGGATTTGGAAAAATTAATAAAAAACCAAATTGCCCAGGGACAACCAAAGACGCATAGACCATGGAAGAAAATCATTATTGCTGCTGAAGGATTGTACTCTATGGAGGGGAACATGTGTAACTTGCCTGCGTTGATTGAGCTCAAGGACAAGTACAAGTGTTATTTATTTGTCGATGAAGCTCATTCAATTGGAGCCTTGGGACCTGAAGGAAGAGGTATTTGTGATTACTTTTCAGTTGATCCTTCGCGAGTGGACATTTTGATGGGTACTTTTACCAAGTCATTTGGTGCAACAGGTGGCTACATTGCCGGTGACAGATATCTTATTGAGAAACTAAGAGTTAACTATATCACCCAAGCATATAGTGAAAGTGTTCCGCCACCGGTTGTTGGCCAAATTATATCTTCATTAAATGTCATAAAGGGAACACTAAACCCTGGCGAAGGACAAGAGAGACTACAAAGAATTGCTTTTAATTCCAGATACTTGAGATTGGGATTGAAAAAGCTTGGTTTTATTGTTTATGGAGCCGACGATTCTCCAGTGATTCCCTTGTTGTTGTTTTTACCCTCTAAAATGCCCGCTGTGTCGCGAATGTTGTATGATATGGGAATCGCTGTTGTGATTGTGAGCTATCCAGCAACCCCTTTGATCAGTGCTAGAGCGAGATTATGCGTTTCCTCAGCATTGACCAAGGACGATTTGGATTATGTTCTAGCCAAAATAAGCGAAGTTGGCGATTTGATTTATTTGAAATTTAGTAGTGGTATCGCCGGAGGTTCTAAAGTACCTGGTGAACCACCTCGTTGGACCATTGAAGAAGTCTTGGCAACAAACGTGGAGGATTGTAAAAAGCCGAAATTAGTATAGATTTTTATTATATAAAGAGAAGAAGAATGAAAATGGGAGAATAAACTTTGTATTTTGCAATTTTTCATCATTCGTAAAGGTAACTTGGCTCTTTCGTTATCATCACCAAAATTTTTTTCCCCCCCCCCCAGTTTCCATCGGAAGGTTGAATGGTCTTTCTTTATTTGGATGTAGTAGACATGTCCAGTATTCCTGATTCGTACATTCCGCCGCTACGGTTTAACTCTATCGAGCCAAATCTTTATCGTGGAGCATACCCGCGGAAACCAAATTTCAAGTTTCTTGAAACATTACAATTGAAAACAATCATCTCCCTTACACCGGAACCAATAGATAACGATACAGATCCGTATTTATATCAATGGGCAGTGGATAATAAGATAACACTTGTACATCTTGAATGTGCACTGGGAGGTAAGGGTAAGAAGAGGAGTGTGCCGCTAGATAACGACCTCGCTATACAAGCACTAAATATTATTATTCACAATTCGAATCTGCCTTTATTCATACATTGCCTCAACGGAGGACAAATCACAAGTTTACTAGTTGCGTGTTTGAGGAAGTTACAGTTTTGGTCAGCTATATCAATATTCAACGAGTTTATAAATTTCACCACCAATATCACTGTCAATGATCGGTTATTTGTTGATAATTTTCATGGTACCGTTGAAATTGACTATGAGGATAAAGTACCTTGGTTATGGGTTGGTGTTAGTAAACACTTGGTTAATAGTCACCCCAAGTTGAAGGTGAGAAATGTGAGTAAGAGAAATGGAGTGGAAGAGAAACGTATTTCGCTGATAGCACTGTAACAGATATATATATGTATAAATATATAAATATATGGTTATCTATACTCTTTGAAAAAATAGACAATAGGCATTCTTATTCAAGACTTTGTTGGGCGACACATTGAAAGTTATTTTAGAATCATCAAAATAACACCAATTTTTTAATCCTTTGTTGTCCTTCTTGTATACATATGCGGTATAGTGACCTGTTGTTAAATTCCCAAAGTGATTAGCTACTCCAAACAATTTATATCTAAAAGGTGGCTGTTGATTTCTGGTCGGCAAATTATCTAAATATCTCTGTTCTTCCTCTGGTTTCATTCTATTCCCATTTACAGCAGACTCAGATACCGTGGATCCGACTGCAGGCCAGTATTTTGTTAAATCGAGAATATCAGATACGGGATATGTTACGAATGTCTCTAGTTTTTTAAATTGATTATCTGTCGGATTCAACTTGAATCTTTTGAAATTGATTATCAAAACTTGAGGTAATCTTGTAATTGAAATTGTCTTTGTTGATTTCGTGAATTTCTTACATTTCGGACAAAACCACTTGTTTTCATCATCAAGTAACTCAGTTGTAATAAACTCGTCAAGACAATCCTTTAATGTCACGTTTGAAGAATGATCAAGCTTTTCTGGTATTGGGAGTGATAAATTGGAAAATGCATTATACGAAGTAGATGTAAATCCACACTCCAAACATTTCAATCGTGATAAATATTGCCCTTGAAATTTATCCACAACTATTGAAAAGTTCAACTTCAAGTATCTTTCCCATTCAATAGTAGACGCCAACCGGATCGGAAGAATCTCTCTTGAGTTTTCTTGCTCAGGAGTCAACTCTGATATCTTCTGTTTTTCCTTTGGATCCGAAATAGCCATTTGATTTAGGTCCTCATGCAACCCATCAAGTAAGTAGTTTAAAAATTCAATACTATCCTGTTGATCATATGTAGCAAACTGTTTACCTGGAGATAATTCGCCTACAATCCTTTTGAATTTTGACGGAGTAAAAACTCCTCCATCTTTGTTGAGCATGTTGAGGATTAGCTCAACAAACCCCCTTGTTAATTTACCTTGCGTACCGAGTTTATTATTAACGTTAATGTGTTGTTTATAAGATTCATTAAATGTGATTGAAGGGAAGAAAAATGACGTCAACTGCCGCGTAGCAGCTAAACATTGCACCATGCAATTCATATAACAGGAATTGCCCAAATTGACTAACCCTGTTGAGAACTCCTCCAACAAGTTAGATTTTGTTGATGTTGATATTGGTGCTAGTGTTGACGATGCTGGTGTTGTTTCTATTGTTGTTGTTGTTGTTGCTGTTGTTGCTTTTGGATTGTTGGAAATCTCGCGATAACTTGAAATTCCGGGTACCACTGCAATGGATGTACTATCCTTAGGAGGATTGTATGGTTGCATGCCAATTGACGGCGGCATTTTATTTGGCTCATATAAGGGCATCTTTTGTACCGGTTTGTAATCCGCGTGTACTGGTTCCTTGGGTATTGGAATTGGGCTCGAACCCTTACTCGGTTTTGAAATATAATCGTTAAGTGAAGTCGAGTAATTCACACCTCCATTAGATGCTCCCATATCGTTTGCTTGACTTTCCAGTCGTTCTAGCAGATCGTTACCAAAAATTTTGTACCAATTAAGAACACCACCAGAAAGATAACTAGGCACCAATTTGAGACTGGAGCTAATGTATTTATTTTTAAAAACCAATAAATCGATTAGTCTTGCAAATGGGAACACCTCGTTATCATCTAGCTCGAGCTCATTGAGAATGTTTAAAAATGTGTCATTTCCCTCAACCCCATACTTGTAATTGTATATTATAACGTAATCGAATTTGTGTCTCTGCTGAAATTTTTGTAGTTGATGAAATGGCAAGGTTGCTTTCAAAGCATCTTCTAGATCTGCATCATTGGCTCCTTCAGGTAGCGATTCAACTAGTTTGGGTTCTATATTAACGAGATTCGTGTGTTTGATGTGGTTGTTCAAATAGTCCTTTCGAAGTCTATAATCTATTAATAAAACCTTTTTCGTGTTTAAAAGCTCTTTTAACTCAATCGGCAGTACCAGCCGCCGGTAGCTTTTTGTATTGGAGTTGCTGCTGCTGCCACCACCACCACCAATACTACTACTCAAAGATTCCCCCTTTAGCAACTTTAGCCGATCTTGTAGGGGATCTGAGGTAGTTTCACTTTTGATACCTGGCATCATCATAGTAGTAAATACCTTGTCTTTTCTGTTTATTGACTCCTCCAAATCCAAGTATAATTTCTCACTCTTGCACCTTATTTTGGCCCTTGTCTGTTTGAAATACTCAAAAAGTATTATATAAAGCACATACGCCAAGTCAAAGTCACAGTACCCGAGTTTTTCCACTAGCTTGCATTGATAATCAAGCATCTCGAGTAACTTCACCAAATTGGAAACCATCACCGACACCTTGACAGATCTCTCAACTAACCGTCTCGTCAAGTTTTCCGCTTTAACATTATACACACTATGCAGTAAATGTAGCCCTAGCATGAAATAAAACCTGGCTATCTGTCTCTATATCTCCTAATCTCTTCTTCTTATTGGGGGGAGGGCGCTTAGTGAAAAGATCTTTCCAAAAACGGAATTGATTTTTTTGATTACCGCTACCATATGCGTATACCAGCAATTTTTTTCGCAGCCGATGTTTTTTAAACTTGGTTTCCCTGTATTTTAACCATTGAAAGTAATATTTGATATGACATTCCAAAGTCAAGCAAAGGTTTTCCCAAAAAAAAAAAAAGGGGAGGGGATTCTAGTAAGGAAAGTTAATCCTTGATAATTGAATTTGGTTTGTTTCACCACATCTACAACCAACCACACACGGGGTTAGGTTCAGTAAATAGAAAATTATTATAGCATATAAGTTGTCTTTGGAAATTATTTTGCAGCTGTTTCAAAGAGGTATATTGTTAGGCCCCGCAAGAGATAATAATAATGGCGTCATTAAGAGGTAAGGACGGGTATTTCCAGTCGTGCTCGACTTACACCGACAAGGAGAACTATTTTCTAGTGGATTCACGATACGAGATAGTGAGGGTCTTGGGTAAGGGTTCCTATGGGGTAGTTTGTTCTGCTGTAGATACCAAGAGCCTTAGCACGGGATTGGAGCATAGGATTGCAATTAAAAAAGTGACTAAAATATTCAGCAAGGACATTCTTTTAGTAAGGGCGATTCGCGAATTAAAGTTTATGAAGTTCTTCAAGGGACATAAAAACGTATGTAAGAATATTGATATTGAGCTCAAAAATGGCTAAATGATAATTACAAAGACTAACAAACAAGCTTTCAACCACACACACGAGGGGGGGGCGGGAAGTGAGTGAGTGGGGGTTTGTTATTTTCATTTTTTTTTTTCTTTTTTAGATTGCAACTTTGCTTGATTTGGACGTTGTATATGTTAAACCCTACGATGGTTTATATTGTTTTCAAGAGTTGGCAGATTTGGACTTGGCAAGAGTATTGTATTCAAATGTTCAACTATCCGAGTTTCATATCCAAAACTTTATGTATCAGATTCTTTGTGGTTTAAAGTATATCCATACAGCAGATGTAGTTCATAGGGATTTGAAGCCCGGGAATATTTTAGTGACAACGCAAGGGACATTAAAGATATGTGATTTTGGTTTAGCAAGAGGGATAAATCCGAAATTTTTTAGAAATAGGGCCACCACGATTACCAACTACGTTGCTACCAGATGGTACAGAGCGCCCGAGTTAATATTATCTACTAAAAACTACTCTAAAAGTGTTGATATATGGGCTATTGGATGCATACTTGGAGAGTTATTTGGAAGAAGGCCGATTTTCCCAGGAAAGAATCTGCATGAACAAATACATGAACTATTCAAAATCTTGGGAAGTCCTCCGAATGAAACGGTTAAGAAATATAACTGGAAAATAGAAGGTATACTTTGGGTCAAATATAAGCCTGTCAAGTGGACAACACTATACCCATTTGCGCCACCAGAAGCAATAAACTTGTTGACACGGTTATTACAATGGGACTATAAGAAACGACTTGATGTTGAAGAAATACTAGAGCAAGATTTCTTCAAATACGTTAGAAATGCAGCCGACGAACCTAAAAGTGCAACTGCGTTTGATTTTAGCTTTGAAGAAACTGCCAATGATATAGCAGGCTTAAAGGAAACATTGGAAAGAGAAGTGAAGGAGTTTAACGAGGAATGCCAAGTGATGTCTTAAATTAAACAGAAGAAAACTAAAAACTAAAAACTAAAAACTTTAACATACTTTTCAACCTAATGCAACCCCTCGTAGGCTTACTTTCCTTTACTTCCTTCCCCATTCTTGTTCATTCTTTTGTGCATTCTTCCCCATTCTCGTTCCTCTTTTGTACGTTTCCTTCCCTAGCGAAACAGGTAATTATAATCAGTATTTTTTTTAGTAAAGAATAAAAACTTGTCCTTAACTAAGTAAATATTTTCATCAAATATATTATATTTCAATAAAAATCACACCGTTCAACATGAAATCAACATGAAATCAACATATATAAACATGTATAAACAAAGTTTCATTATAAAAAGCACAAAACTATTCAATATCAACGACTTAAGCCGAGGAACCAATACTCTTTTTCTTAGATTTGTGCAAAAAAAGAAAAAATACATACTTTGAATCAAATAAATGTAGTTTTATTGCGGCGGCCCCCCACAGTCCTTCATCTCCTCTTTAGTCACTGTATAAAAAGAACAGCAAGGGCCATTATCTGAACCGGTTTATTCCTTTGCCATCTCCCATCCACCTTTCTTTCCTTTAGTGCCGTTTGTTTTCTTTTTTGTTATTTCTATAAAATGCCCCTCCAAACGCATCCCGATTTCGTTGCAATAGACTTGACATTACATGTCGACGGCAAAGAACCACAGCATATCCCAATCGACGGTGCAGAATCTATATATGTCCAAATTCCAGGCGGTGTCAAGTACCGTATGACATTAAGATTTAAAGTTAAGAATAGAGAGTTGAGCAATTTAAAATATAAACAAAATGTCAAAAAAGCCGGTGTCACGGTTCGATCAAGAGAAGTTGATTTGGGCACTCGTGAACCTTCAGAAACGGAAATTTACGAACAAGATTTCCCCGAGGATGAGACTCCTGGTGGTTGGTTAATGAGGGGCAAATATGCTGCTACCTCATATTATTCCGCAGGTGACGAGATGTTGATTGTTAATGACTGGACCCTTGAGATAACTGCTTAACTATCGAGCACTAGCTCTCAAAACTAGCTCTCAACACTAGCTCTCAACACTATCTCGCTCTGCCTGATAGCGTCGGGGGTTTGTCAATTTCATTTTATGTTTATCTATATATAGAAGTTTGTAAAGGATAAATGCTGTGTTTATATCTATGCTCTTTCTGTCCAACTTTATGCGTCTGCTCTTTCTGTCTAACTTTATGTGTCTACTCTTTCTATCTGCCCTTATGTGTCTGCTTTTTCTATCTACCCTTATGTGTCTGCTTTTTTCTGTCTGCCCTAAATCCTTATATTGTCAGTCTATTTTTATGGAATGTCTGTCAGTCCAATTCTTAATGGTGTCTGTCAGTTTACTTTTTATGTGTCTGTCTGCTCTATTGTGTTTTTGTTAACAGGGGTTTTTTCTCATATTACGTGACAATTCTTTATCATATTTCTCCGCGATAAGGAAGAAAGAAAAGGAAGAAAGAGAAAGAGGAAGCTGAACAAGAACAAGAACAAGGCACCTTTGTAGGATCATTATTTGGGCACCTTTGTAGGATCACTATTTGGGCAACTTTGTAGGATCATTATTTGGGCAACTTTGTAGGATCATTATTTGGGCACCTTTGTAGGATCATTATTTGGGCAACTTTTGATAAACCTTTTTGTTCTCCGCTGCTGAAAGAGCTAACCCATGTTGAGTATTAGACCGGCTACTCATGCTGGTTCTTGGTATAGCGGAGATCCTAATGCTCTCAAGTTGCAAATCCAGAACTTAATTGCTAGTGCTCAAAATCGTGTTGGTTTGCCTGTTGAAGGTGCAAGAGTATTGATTGGTCCGCATGCTGGTTATACATACTCGGGAGAACGCCTTGCTGAAACTTATAATGCCTGGGACACTTCAACTGTAAAGAGGGTGTTTTTGTTGGGCCCCTCGCATCATGTATACTTTAAGAATCACGCAATGCTTTCTCCCTTTGATTACTATGAGACTCCAATCGGCAATTTGCAAGTGGATCAAGCTATAATAAAAGAGTTGCTATTGAAGCGCTCATTGAAAAATCCAAACAAGCCGATATTCAAAGTAATGTCTCAAGAAGTTGACGAAGAAGAGCATTCTTTTGAAATGCATGCACCTTTCATCTCATATCAAGCTGCAACTTCAAAGACTCCTCCAACTATCATTCCCATAATGATCAGTGGAATGGATAGCGAGGTTCAAAATGATATAGCAGAGGCTCTTTTACCATACATTTTGAAAAAGGAGAATCATTTTGTTATTAGTTCCGATTTTTGTCACTGGGGATCTCGGTTCGGTTACATGAGCATTCTCCCTAATGAAGAATGCTCCTTGAATACACTAGAAAAGGATTTGGTTTCACTCGAGGGACTCCGTGGCGGTGGCGGTCGCAACTATAAGATTTCCAGTGCTATATCAAATCTAGATAAGTTGGCTCTTTGCATCGCTACAAATGGCTCTTCTTTACAGTGGAAGCAGTATATTCGCATATCGGGGAACACAATTTGTGGTCAAAAACCAATATCAATCGTCTTGCAGCTCATTGAAAAATCCGGCTTAATTCAACCTGAAGATGGGGGGGTTTTTCAGTGGATCGGATACTCTCAAAGCAATCTGGCTCGATCCGTTAAGGATAGTAGCGTGTCGTATGCCTCGGGTTATGTTAAATTGTAAGTAAAACCTCCGTACCCAACGCCACATTACTCCTTTTGTAGCCTGTTACAACACTATCGAGACATTACTCCTTTTGTAGCCTGTTACAACACTATCGAGACATTACACCTTTTGTAGCCTGTTACAACACTATCGAGACATTACACCTTTTGTAGCCTGTTACAACACTATCGAGACATTACACCTTTTGTAGCCTGTTACAACACTATCTCGCTCTGCTCGATAGTGTTAATGTAAAATGGTCAAGATTGATTTTTCAATCGGCAAAAAACAAAAGCTTGTTGATAAAAAGAGAATTTGCGCGTTATCATTGATTCCTCTTTGCAAGAAGAGGAGTTTTACCACTACTTATCGAGTAGAGTATAGATGGAAGATGAGTGAGTCTAAGCTATTTGCGAAATCCAAGAGTACTGAGCTTAAAGCTGAACTTGAACATGCGTTTAAGAAGTCCAAGCCAGCCAACAGAGTGAAGATTGTCCTCCGAAAAATACTTGCCAATATAATTCTAAATAATAATGAGATGGTGACTTTGATGGGTGATATAATCCCATTGATGAAAATGGACGATTTGGAAATACGCAAGTTATGCTGTGAATATATCGTAACGTATGGTCAGTATACTCGTGATACGCTTGCAGCAATTCCGCTTTTGAAACGATTTAGAGAGGAATCGTCGCCTATTTTAAGAGCATTATCGGTGAAAACCATGACTTCAGTATGTATGGTGGAGTTTAGTGAATTGAGTGTTGAGACAATTCAAAGATTGGTTTTGGATAAGGACCCCTACGTGAGACAAGCGACGGCATTCTCCATCGCAAGACTACACCTAAATGATCCCGCTCGAACTGAAAAAGCATCCCTCATTGATCTACTTAATGAGCTCCTATACGACGAAAGTCCCATGGTGGTGTCGAATGCATTGGCAGCATTGAGCAGTATCACTGAAAGAAGTAAGTCTTTGAACTTGACTATAGACAAGGCACACACGCTAAACTTGATTAAACTATTAAAAGTGGCCAATGAGTGGCAGCATGTTTATTTGCTTAATTCGTTAATGGCGTACATACCTCAAAGCGAGCACGAGGCATTGGATTTAATAGAAGCTGTTCTTCCTTCGTTGCAGCATGAGCACTCGGCAGTGGTTTTGAATGCCATCAAAGTGATTGTCTACTATAGCAACTATGCAAGCAATCCTGAACTCCATTTACCCATTCTTCCAAAAAGAATTGGCTCGTCACTCAATTCTTTATTAACAAAGTCCCCTGAAATCCAGTTTTTGGTCCTTAGAAACGTCATTTTACTTTTGCTCGGCAAGAGAAACTTGGTTCAATTTGAAATTGAAATGTTTTACTGTAAATTCGATGATCCGATATATGTCAAAGACACAAAACTTGAAATAATATATTTATTGGCCAATGAAGAAAACGTTGACCTGGTGTTGAATGAATTGGAAGAATATGCTACCGAAGTGGATGTTTCAATGGCGAGAAAGGCAATAAGAGCTTTCGGAAATCTCGCAGTGAAGCTAGAAGCAGGTGCACAGAGATGTGTTGATGTGTTGTGCGACTTAATATCAACGGGTATCTCGTACATTGTACAGGAGGCTGCTATAGTAGTCAAAAATATCATCAGAAGGTATCCAGATAAATTCAATTATGTTGTGCGAGATCTCATCAAGCATCGGGGGCTCTTTGAGGAACCGGACGCTAAAGTTTCCATTCTTTGGATGGTTGGTCAGTTCTGTGTCGAACTTGAAGACTCTGGAATGATTTTGGACGACTTGATGGTTTATTACCAAGATGAACCCACCGAAGTTCAGCTTGCTGTTTTAACTGCAGTAACCAAGCATTATCTTGTTTACCCTCTGGAGGGAGAACTGAGACTATTAAACACTTTGAAATGGGCTACTGAAAAAGCCGGGAACCCTGATGTCCGAGACCGTGGGTATCTTTATTGGAGATTACTCTCCTCCGAATATGCTAGTGCCTCGGAAAATGGATTTCAAAAAATTACAAAGGACATTATTTTCAACCTCAATCCATTGATTGTTTCAGAAAATGACAATATTAACCCAGCTGTTTTGGAAGAATTGGAACTCAACTTTGGCTCTTTAGCATCAATATACTTAAAGCCAGTTCAAAGCGTGTTTCGAATGACAAAACATAAAGAGCTACACTGGGCGCCATCACTTCAAAAACGAGAGCCAACTGTTTCTATCAGTAGTGGCACTTCGTCACCACGTCTAACGAGTCTGAGTAACCGAGCTTCCTATTCTCCAACCCCACTGAGAGCACACTCCCAATCCGAGGTGGTGAAGCAATATGCTAATAGAGCTTCAAGAGAGTCACCAACCTCAATATGCACTACACAAGGAGTGTTGCTGCCACAAAAAGAAAACTTTACGCAAAAGTTATCCAGAAAGAGTTCATCAATGACAAGCAAATTAGCAAGTAAATTCCCAGGATTATAGCGTGTTTATATGTTTCTATATATATATATATATACATGTATTTTTTTTTTTTTTTCAAATTCGACATTAGGTTTTGGCGATATTTAGAATCTTAACATTAGGAGAAAATCTTACAGCGGATGATACGTCCAGGATCGTATTGTGAAGCACTGTTGGCATACCAGGTTCAGGTCCGTCAGGTAACCTGTCGGCAAGTTTATGCAAATCCATACCCAAAAAAGATGCCAAAACGATTAATGCTGCTGGACGTGACATGACTCGCATTTGCTCTCTGCAGGTGGCACCCACAACACAAAGTGGACACCCCCATTGGCATTTACAATCGTTTATCCTATGGAAAGATGTATATACTAACTCGTCAATGCATTCAAATGTCTTGTACGAGTAGCCAGAGCCATTTTTGTTTCCTTTGACGTCATAAAACACCAACCGAGGAGGTCGTTTTCGCTTAGTTTCAGTTGCCTTGAACTCTTTACTTGGCGCTTTGCATTCAGTCGCCATTTCAAAATCAAGGGCATGCACATTAGTCTTGGTCGAATTAATGTAAAGCGGGAGCATGTTCATAATACCGTGGGCTGCAGCATGTATTCCTCCAGAAGGAGACAAATTTTTGTCTCTTATAATATCTATTGCAGTCTTTGGCACATTTAGCCAACATCCCTTTGCATACGCAATGATTGGTGGATTTTTCACTTCCACCACTTCAAGTATCTCCTCTTTTCGATTTACTTTAAAGAATCCAAAAACCTTCATGGTGACCTTTATCTGACCAAAAAATGCAGGAGTATCCAATTGTTCTTTCATGTTTACGGGCATTATCGGTTTCACCAATTCAACCTCTTCTGGGTCAACATCAGTGTAATCTCGTTGCGAAGTAGTCCAGTCAACATTGACTCTCTCAACTTTACAATACTTTTCCTTATGGTTAAATTCTTTAACCAAATATGGTTGGCCTTGGTGAAGGAAAATACCACCTTCATAAATTGTAAAGGTGGTTCTCAGGAGCTCTATCTCCTCCATCACTACATTTTTATTGTTTGTGACATCAACAACTGCAACTGTTTCATCTTCAATTGCTCGTATAGTAACTAGCTTTGTGGGCCTCGGCAAGTAACGTGGGTTGGTTCTGTACTTACCGTCAACGTCCAATACCAAGTGCTGATCAAGGATTTTGTAAAATGATTCCCGGCTTCTGCCTTTAGAAAACCATCGATAGTCATCTTCTTTATCTATAGCCATCTCATAAGCTGCACATTGCAAATGTCGCTCCAAAAGCAACAGCCCGTGTTCCATGTCTCTTAAAGAGTCAACGCACAAATCCTCATAATTGTTCTGAATTAGCTCATCGGGATGCTCAATATAGTATTGATCAATAGGTGAACGCATGGGCACAAACACAGCCAAACTACCAGTTGCTGCCTGGCCACGCCCTGCTCTTCCAAACTGCTGATGTAGATTCAGTTTCAGAACTGGGAACCCGCATGTAATCACCACATCTAAATTAGACAAGTCAATCCCTAATTCCAAAGCATTTGTAGCAATTATAGCTCTGAGTTGCCCATCAAACATTTTCTTTTCTATAATTCGTCTATCGCTTTTGCTGTATCCGCCTCTATACGACATAATATCACTTTGACTCAATCCCAGTGCCTTGAAATGGGAGCTTTGAAGTTGAGTGCGAATTTCTCTCATCATCATTTCCGTTACAACTCTAATAGGACAAAAGACGAGAACTCTAAGACCTTGCAAATCCGTTAATAAAGTGAGTAATAGTTTAGCCAGCTCCTTTATTGAGCTTACTCTTGGAATCATCAAGCTAGTGGATTCTGAGCGTGCTTTTTCTCCAACATTGTTCATGAGTACTGGAGGATTCCAAACAATTAATTTCTTTTCACATTTTGCGCTGCCATCATTTGCTATATGTAATACTTCATCATCATCCAGCAAAGAACAGATTGTCCTAAAATGTGCGTTTGGATTTGCAATTGTTGCTGAGCAAGATACAAATCTGACTCTTTTGCCATTTGGACAGTACTTGTGCTTTATTCTAGCAAGTCGAGCCATTACGTACCCAACATTAATGCCAAACGTTCCTTTGTAAACATGTAACTCATCCATTACGACATACTTGAGTGCACTCATAAACTCCATCCAAACTTTATACTGGTTGTTGGGTAATATGGAGGCATGAATAGTATCGGGGTTGGTAAACAAAATGTCTGACGTCTTCAGAATTTGCTGTCTTTCTGCAAACGGAGTATCTCCGTCATAAGCGTTAATAACAATGGGCCGCTTTGAATGGGTTGGCAAATGATTCAAAAACATTCTAAAATGTCTCATTTGGTCTTGCGCTAGAGCTTTGGTTGGGAAAATAAATAACGCTGTGGTGCACCTCTTGTTGTTGCCATTGGTGATGTCCCAAAGAATTGAATTCAAAATAGGTAGTTGATAAACCAAGGACTTTCCAGAAGCCGTCAGTGTACTTAAAATAACATGAGTATCATGAGAATCGTCAAGTAACGTATCCAATGCTTGTGCTTGATGTGTATAAAGCCCATCGTCAAATGAAATTCCCTTTGACGCTAAAAGAGCTTGTCGAAGCTCAGGGTGTAAAAGTTCCGAATTCATTTGCAGCACCTGTTGATATTGTGCTTGTTGGGCATAATTAAGTTGAAGAGTTGATACGATTTGATCCACGTAAAACTTTGAGTTTTTCAATGCGGCAATCATGTCATCAACAGAGGTGGGCGGTCGTGGTTGAACAGAACTCGTTTTCTTTGCCTCAAGCACTTCGACAATATTCTCAAACTCCGGTTCTTTTGGTATTAATGGTTTTGTCATTTGCAAGAGTTCTTTCTCAGCTTGGCATTGATCTTGATACTTGCCAATGAAGATTTGTAAATTTTCTTGGAATATGCAATCTCTCCCCTTGATGATTTTAGTAAGATGAGTTTGCTGTAAAGGTGCCAAAACGTTTTCATGATTACTCAAAAAGAAGGCCTGTCGACGTTTAGTTTGGAACTCATTCAGTTTCCCTAGTTTCAACCTCTTGTTGCCCTTCATAACCTTGCCTATTCCATGTATCTTGACGTCTTGGAAATCGAAAATTAAGATTTGCTTAGATTCACGGAGAGCGTCTTGGAATTTATCTGCAACAGCAGTTTGAGAAAACCTCCCACCTTTACCAACCTTTACCTCTTCCATAAAGGAAACCATTATCTGATTTTCATCGACATAATCAAAAAAAATCTCATCTTTAGGAAAAATATGTTTAATATTTGCCAAGTCAGTCAAGGTGATGGACTTGTTAAATTTCTGTAGTAACTTATAAGAAGGAATCACCGAGCGCGAATGCGATGATAGGAAAGTTAAATGAGTATTGATTTCATGGAATATCTTGATAAGCCTTTGAAAGAATTCTGACCATGGCGGGAGAGGCGGGGGAGGCGGCGAAAGCGAAAGCGACAGCGACAGCGACAGCGGCGAAAGGGACAGTGAAGGCAATGGCATCAGCGGCAGCAGCAGCGACAGTGAAGGCAATGGCAACAGCGGCAGCAACAGCGACAGTGACAGTAGCAGCAGCAGCAACAGCGACGGCTGTAACAGTGACAGTAGCAGTAGCAGCAGCAACAGCGACGGCTGTAACAGCAGCAGCAGCAGCAGCAGCAGCGACAGTGAAGGCAACGGCAACAGCGACGGCTGTAACAGCAGCAGCAGCAAAAGCAACAGCGACGGCCGTAACAGTGACAGTAGCAGCAGCAGCAGCAGCAGCAGCAGCGACAGTGAAGGCAACGGCAACAGCGACGGCTGTAACAGCAGCAGCAGCAAAAGCAACAGCGACGGCCGTAACAGTGACAGTAGCAGCAGCAGCAGCAGCAGCAGCAGCGACAGTGAAGGCAACGGCAACAGCGACGGCTGTAACAGTAACAGCAGCAGCAAAAGCAACAGCGACAGCTGTAACAGCAGCAGCAGCAGCAGCAACGACAGCGAGCTAGTGTCTCTACTCACCCCTGCTCCACTAACTCGCTTCGCTCGTTAGTGTTGTGTTAGTGTCTCTACTCACTCCTGCTCCACTAACTCGCTTCGCTCGTTAGTGTTATGTTAGTGTCTCTACTCACTCCTGCTCCACTAACTCGCTTCGCTCGTTAGTGTTGTGTTAGTGTCTCTACTCACTCCTGCTCCACTAACTCGCTTCGCTCGTTAGTGTTATGTTAGTGTCTCTACTCACTCCTGCTCCACTAACTCGCTTCGCTCGTTAGTGTTGTGTTAGTGTCTCTACTCACTCCTGCTCCACTAACTCGCTTCGCTCGTTAGTGTTGTGTGTCTACTCGCTTCGCTCGTTAGTGTTGTGGCTAGTGAGAAAAAAATTTTAGGGCCGATAGGATAGACAGCCTTTTGCGAGAAAACATATCGAGAGCAATCCAATTTCAACAATTAAGAACCAAGTAAAAAAAAACCCCTTATTTTTTTCAAGTATAAAAGTAATTGTGTGGAATCACACTAATTAGTTTAGAGTATTATAGCAACTTTGTTTTTTGAGTCTCTCTCTATTATCTCTGGTATCGATGCAGAAGGCGTTTTCTAAGCTAAAGTTGAAAAGTAAAGGGTCCAATATACCTGATGCTGCGCCAGCAGTTGATTCAGGTAAGGAACCGTCAATAGCACAAATCTACCAATCGAGATTGAATTATGGTGTCAATTTTGGTTCTAGTTTTGTTTTGGAAAAATGGATTTTCCACGATTTGTTTGCCGAGACCGGTGGAGATACCGAGCTAGATGCTGTTTCCTCGCTTGTTGCTAAGAATGGGGTTAATGACACGAGAAGCAAGTTTGAAAACCATTGGAACAATTTTGTAACCTCTGAGGATTGGAGCTGGTTGGCTGACAATCAAGTTACATCGATTAGATTGCCAATTGGATATTGGCACGTTGATGGTGGCAGTTTTACTAGTGGTTTCAAGTTTGAAAAATTCAAGCAAGTTTACTCCAATGCTTGGACTATTATCAAGCAAAAGTATGTTGAAGTTGCATTGCAGAATAAGATCTCCGTGATCATTGATATCCATGGTCTTCCAGGTGGCGCAAATAACGCGGGCCACTCTGGAGAATCGGGATCGGGAGATTTCTGGTCTGATGAGAAAGCTCAAGTATCAATGGCTAAAATGATGGGGTGGATTGCAAATGATTTAAAAAGTTACGAAAACATTGCCGGAATTCAGGTTGACAATGAAGCAGGGTTTGCCAATCCTGCCAAGAAACAAGAAACCTATTATGCTGCATGTATCAGCGAGATAAGGAAAAACAATAAGCAAGTTCCTGTTATTATCTCCGACGGCTGGTGGCCAGACCAATGGGTGAAATGGGTACAAGACGAACAAGGCGACGACGGATATATTGGTGTTGTTATTGATGACCATGTTTACAGATGTTTCTCCGATGCTGATAAGGCCAAGTCACCTCAACAAATCATTGATGATCTTAACGGTGATGTATTGACCAACTTAACTGATAATGGTAGTGGTGCCGATTTAATGGTTGGCGAATGGTCATGTGTATTAGACACCCAAAGTTGGGAAAAGGCAGGTGGATCAAATAGAGATGATGAAGTTAAGAAATATGGCCAAACACAATGTAAATTATTTAACGAAAGGGCATGTGGATCTTATTTTTGGACTTTTAAGTTCCAATCTGGTAATGGCGGTGAATGGGACTTTAAAACCATGACCGATAAGGGTGCAATTCAACCATTCTCCAGGCCAACAAAAAAACCATCAGATGATCAATTCCAACAAGCCTTGGGTAATGCTTACAATGGACATGTAGATTACTGGAAAAAGCAAGACCCCAATGGTAAGTACCAGCCTGAATTGTACAAGGATGGATTTAGTATTGGTTGGAAAGATGCAGATTCATTTGCCAAGTTTAACGGGTCCAGAATTGGTAGAAAGGAAGCTCTCAAACGTGCCAGACTCCAAGAAGAAATTTCTTCAAAGGGATCACTGAAATATGATTGGGAATGGAGCCAAGGGTATGACGAGGGAGTTAAACAGTTTTACAATGCTAGTATCTAGTCTAGAAACAATACTAGTAAGAAATTTTATCCAGTTTCTTAGAGATATACAATACGTGCATATGGTAATAGCAACATATGCTTGGTTCAGAGCTTTGCAAGTTCCTTTTTGTTGATCAACTTTGCTCATTGAGCAAAGTTGATTTTTTTTTTGCACCCAAAAAAAGAAAAGATTTTATTCACATTTAGACCTTTTTAGTACAGCTCTTCTCTCCTTTTATATCACTCATATCATTAATTTAGAATTACGCTCTTGCTCTTATTGATATGTCTCTGTTGGCGATATGAAGCTCTTGATAGAGGTTTGTGGTTCTAAATAAAAGGATGGTTTGTGGTTCTGTACAAGGATAGTTTGTGGTTCTTCCTGGGATTAAGATAGCAACCCTCTTTTACTTTGGTTCATCCAAAGCTAGTTATTCCATCTCTTAGATATACATCTGATTAGTTGCTTTGGTTGCACCCGTTTAAAAACACTTGCCGAGAAAAGGACAACTATTTTGCATAACAGGTGGACAATTGAGGACTTATGACACTAACGAGCGAAGCGAGCTAGTGTCTGTAGTCACACCTCCATGTCTGTAGTCACACCTCCATGTCTGTAGTCACACCTCCATGTCTGTAGTCACACCTCCATGTCTGTAGTCACACCTCCATGTCTGTAGTCACACCTCCATGTCTGTAGTCACACCTCCATGTCTGTAGTCACTCCTCCATGTCTGTAGTCACTCTTACTCCACTAACTCGCTTCGCTCGTTAGTGACTCTGGTCACTCCTACTCCACTAACTCGCTTCGCTCGTTAGTGACTCTGGTCACTCCTGCTCCACTAACTCCCATCGCTCGTTAGTGATGTGAGCATATAAAGAGAACCTAAATAAAATATACCAATAACTAATAACACTATCTCGCTCTGCTCGATAGTATTGCGACAAGCTACTGAGTGTTGCTTAATCAACCATTAACTTTTCAAAGTAATTCCAAAATGTGATAGTTTCCAGCTTCTTATACAGCTTTGAATCCATTTGTGATGCAACACTAACGAGCGAAACGAGTTAGTAGAGCTGGAGTGACGGAACAGGAGTGATGTAACAGGAGTGATGTAACAGGAGTGATGTAACAAGAGTGACTATCAACACTAGCTCGCTTTGCTCGCTAGTGGAGCAAGAGTGACTATCAACACTAGCTCGCTTTGCTCGCTAGTGGAGCAGGAGTGACTATCAACACTAGCTCGCTCTGCTCGCTAGTGGAGCAGGAGTGACGGAACAGGAGTGACTAGAGATACTAACTCGCCCCGCTCGCTAGTATCTCTAGTCACTCTTGCTCCACTAGCTCGCTTCGCTCGCTAGTCTACTCATCTCATCTCATGGTGCAAAGAGATGAGATGAGATGAGATGAGCTGAAAAAAAAAAAAAATGAATATATACATATATAGCATATACTTTTGATCTTATACCCATTTACCCAAACCCATTTCTTGTGGCCATGTCGAGTTTAGCTTCACAGTTAAAGACGCTAAGCGAGAAAAGCTCTTCGATAGCTTTGAATAGGCAACAGAGGTCAAAGATCCATTCTCGTTCATTAATTTTTGATCCAAAAGTTGCATCTACACAAGATTATGAATACATCTATGAAATTTCGCTTCAAGGATTGCAAGAGTTGTGTGAGTTGGACTCTAGATTCAACAAGTTTAAAGCATCGCTTTTTTCCCAAAATTCGGTAAATTTCGACAGGAATGTGCAAACTCAAGATGCGATTACCCATCTTGATCAGAATATCGCTGCTTTCTTCACCTTACTTGGGCCATTTTATTCCTTCACGTCGGCTTTGAAAGCAGCAGAATGGTTGGTGAGAAGGTTCCAAGCAAATATACACAATTCTGAGCATATCATACTTACGGCTTTACCATATTATCAACATCTGGTGTTTATCAAAATTTTGAATGTAATTCCCAAGCAGAATTTCCCCCCCATTTTTGAATGGCTAGTTACTTTTAAAGATTTGCTAAAATGCCCAACATCGCAAACCATATTCAGAGCATTTTATAATGACAATTTATTGTACAGTTTTTACTCTCTGTTCTTGGACGAACAGGTGAGAAATCAAACCATTTATAAAAATCAATTGGTATTCTATTTATCAATCACGGTTCAATTGATTGCAGCACGCGCAAAAGACAATGCAATCTTAAATGAAACATTGATCCCAGTGGTGTTAAAGACAGTGGATACCATATTATTGTCATCATACACAGGACGCTCTTGCTCAAAGTCCGAGTTGATTTTAAGTGCTTACTCACTGCTAGCAGTTCTTTCTTCTGTCGCACCGTTGAGTTTTGAGGTTTTGAACACAATAACCACGTCAATCCTTGACGATGTTGACACACTGAAACCATCACTACTCAAACAAACAGTCACTGTTTTGGTTCAACTTTGGGGATCAAACTCAAGTGCTTTTGAAACAGCACCAAGCTTGCAAAGATTAAAACCAAACAAGGAAATGCTCGAGGTTATTAAACAATTGCAATTTCCCTCTTTTAAAAAGGACAGATTTTTGGCATCTTATTTTGGCAACGTTTTCCCATGTGAGCAATCTCAGGAGTTGTTAGCATTGACAAACGTGAAAGACAATGCCAGTTTGTTGAAGTTTATCTCACAACTTGTAAATGATTTTATATTGGATCGAGATATTACTGAAAACAGAGATATAGTGGTTGGAATTGTGAAAACGTTGATAAATGCAAATGAAAAAGTATTTCAAGAGATCCTCTTTTCCAGAGGAGTAAAGATTAGTGATTTGGAGTTGAAACTTCAGTGCACATTAAGTCAAAAGGACAATGATAGCGATAACTATAATGAGAGCAACTTTGGTGCTGTTGAGGATATTAGCACAGAAGCGCCCATTGAAGAAAAAGTTGAAAAATTTGACTTTAACGGGATTAGTGCAGTTGCTCCAACTTACTTTGAGTCAAAGAACGATTTGGAATTTAATCAGTTGTCCTCTGTACTTTGTCAAATATGCTCATCTGCCAGCGTCTCTTCACAAAGGCCTACAATACAACTTTTTGTCCATAAGGTGTTCCAGAGCTCAGCAGCGGGAATGAGCTTCATGATTAGGGTAATTTTCACTCAATCTATACCACTCGTCATACGACTCACCACTCTTAGAGTGATATCGATTAAACTAAAGGAGTTAGATGACGGTAGGACCGATTTTTACTTGTTACTTCCACTTCTTTTGATGGGGCTTAGTGATGAATTGAAATCCGTTAGGAGTGGTATATCCAATGTTATCCGCGTTATTAGTGGTATTACAACTAAACTTCACAAAAACAAGAAAACAAAAACCACTCTATTCGGAGAAACAGAAATTTATGGAACAATTGTTGATAAAAAGATACTCCTTCCACAAGATGCAATGAGATTGATGGAATTTTTGGAGAATGGCTCTTTCTTTGATGATGTCATTTTTGAGAAAAGTAAAGTGACTCAAATGTTCAGATCTATATTCGAAGTAAAAGTGAACAAGAAGAATTTTGGAGAATTGTACGAAATGTTTATTTTGAACCAATGTTCCCTCACATTTTTGCCAGTTGTTTTCAAATCAAAAATATGGGCAGTTTGCGCCAGCTTGAACAAGAACGGAGGAAATGAAAGAAGCTATTTTTGGGGCGATGGTGGCGACGTTGAAAACTATTTCAAGAAAAGAGCAGATTGGATTTCACAAGCAAACGATTGTAAAATTGACAATTTCGAGCTTGTTGAAACATCTCTTGTTGGCCTTGTAGGAGGAGGAAGAAAGTGCACTTCAGAACAATCATTAAAAGAAGCGACTTGGTTGTGTCAAGGCTTGGAGTCCAGCAGTGGATTACAGGTGATAAGCAACGATCGGATTTTACAAGTTTTTGAGTTTCTCAAGACTACAGAGGCAAAATTAACAATTGTTAATAAATTGCTCGAAATGATGGTAAACGATGAATTTGAAGGATTTGATCCAATGATGACGTTGCAACTGCTTCGCATACCCTTTGAGGTGTTTTTGCAAGCTCTTGAAAATGTGCAAATTGGCGATCAAATGCCGGAGCAGGGACTTGTTAAACGGAGAAGACGCTCTTCAAACTCAACTAGACAAGCAATGGCAAAAACAGACGTCAACCTTTTAGCTGCACTTCATATTAAAAAACTATCTTTATTATTGGAAGTATTGGAGATACACTTGCGTACCGAGCCAAGTGTTGCACATCCAAGGTTATTAAAAGTGTTATTTAAAATATTAGCAGATTTGGATTCTTTAGGTAATGATGGGAATTTGCCCGTTTTGTACACCCAGGAGCTTTTAGCTACTTGTATGCTTTTGAATATCACAAGCATGAAGAAAAACGAGGGTGGCTTTAAGTTTGATTCTAATTCTGTTAGAGCAGACTTGATTGTAAACTCTATTAGAAGCTCGAGCTCACCTCAAGTTCAGAACAGATTGCTATTGGTTATATCTGAGTTGGCGGCTTTTGCTCCCGAAATAATATTACATTCAGTTATGCCTATTTTCACATTTATGGGTGCCCACACAATTAGACAAGACGACGAGTTTTCCAACGATGCATTACAAAAGACGGTTGCCAAGGTTATTCCTGCTTTGGCGTTGAACAGCTCCGGGTCAATTAATTCGGAAATTGAATTTTTATTGACTAGTTTCACCGCTGCGTTTCAGCATATACCTAGTCATCGGAGGGCTAAGCTTTTTGTAGCTTTAACACAAACGTTAAAGCCATCTGAATCAATGCATCTTGTTATATATTTATTGGGTCAGCAGTATTCTCAAGCCAGTATTATCCGGAAAAGAGTAACCGAGGCTGATGACATAGTGGCTTTTATGGAACTTTATTTAAAAACCTTCTCAGCAGATGATCAATTGGAAGGATTCGCTAAGTTTTGTGATCTTCTCAAGGTTTTCCCCGATCATCAATTAGAACCAAATTCAAAGGAGTTCGATGCATTGAGATCAAGACCCATCTTTGGTAGCTCGGTAATTAGTCTCACCAATGAGGAATTGATTAGAACGAGATTGTCATTGCTTAAATATTTTAATGCAATTATACGTGCTGACTCTTCCAAATATGATATACTATCACTCAAGAGCAAGATTGCCATGGTTTTAGAGGAGGAGAAGGAAAAGGAAGAAGAAAACGAGGAGACAAAGTCGTCAAGCAAAGATTTGATATTAGGTAGAGTTAGGCACATGACAAGTTTTACCTTGGCAGAGTTGGACACCTTTTCGACAGTTCATCAGAACTATGCAATATGTCAAGAATTGTTTACTCTCTTGAGCAATTTGTTAAACTTGTTACCAATATTGGATTTTGTGAAGTCAATTGTCAATTATTTAGATGTGGATGAGTTGCGTGATAATACCTCAATCAAAGTAGCCAAAAATTATGCCATTTTGTCTGCCAGAAAGTTTGAAAATGAGATTAGTTTTAAGAAAGGTTTTGGTGTCATTGTTGAAGATTTGTTAAAGGTATTGTTGAAAGGTATAAGCAAGAATATTGATCCAGAATTACAGCAGGCTTATTTGAATGCATTTGCTATTATCGTGCTTAAGATTGACAGCAGCGCTGCCCAAGATACCGGGTTTATAACTGCTAGCTTGTCTTCTTTCTTGATCGAGGCGCTTGGAGTGATAACATCTCAATGTGGTTTATTGAGCAATCAAACTGAAATTATTATTGCTTCAATTAGCAGCATAATCAGTGTTGTCAAAGTACTTGGAATAAAAACTTTGGGATTGTTTCCTAAAATAATCACTCCTACGTTAAAGATCTGGGAGTCAACGATAGAATCCCAACAAGATGAAGAAGGTTCAAAACTTATTCAAGAAGCGGTATTGTTACTCCTTTCGTGTTACATCAAAAAGATGCCTTCTTTTATGGTTACTAGTTTGGACTCCTTGTTGCTTACCGCTTTGAATAGTAATCTTGTTGAAAACCACGTGAAATCATCATTTTTGAATTTGATAATCGAACGCATGAAAATTGGCCAAACCATGAAATCATTGTGTAACATTTGGATGAACAAAGGCTTTTATCAGAACAATAATCCAGCCAGTATTGGTCTTTTCTTGAATACTATGCAATCTGCAATTGACAAGTTGGAGAAGAGTGAGGCGATCCTGCAAGCTTCTCAATTTACAAAGTGGCTAATTAACGCTTTTGAATTTAGAGAGTATTGCCAGGACAACAACAACAACAACAAATTTGACCAGAATACAATCCATAGGATTGAGAGCTCGTTTCATAGTTGCGCTATTGCTTACGTTATGAAGCTTAACGATAAGAGCTTCCGGCCATTATTTGCCAGTATGGTTCGTTGGGCTAGTACAGGTGAAGGTGGAACAATGGAGATCAACTATACATCGCGTTTGTTATCTTTTTACCGGTTTTTCAATAAGCTTCAAGAGCTGTTAAAGAGTATTGTAACTTCATATTATTCCTATTTGATTGATACTACATCATCGAGTCTTGAACAATTTGCAAAGGGGCAACTCAAGGATACTACATTGCGAAGAATCATTTTGATTTCCTTATCATTATCCTTCAATTTTGACCAAGATGAATATTGGGCCCAGCAAGGGAAGTTCGAAAGTATTTGCCAACCATTGCTAGACCAATTGCAAAACATTGAAGATCCAATTGGTAAGTTCTTAGTCAAGGCCATTTCTTCGCTTGTTTCCGATGTTTCTTCAAATGAATATAACGAGATTGTTTTGAAAGGATTGATAAAGTTCATCTCGTATGATAATGAGAATCTGAAGGATACAAAGTTGTGGACAATTCGAGTATTGAAGAACATATACCAAAAATTGGGAGAGAGGTGGTTGCCGTACTTGCCCACTTTGGTACCACACGTTTCGGAGTTATTAGAGGATGATGACGAGGCGGTAGAGTTGGAAGTGAGAGAGGGTCTAGTAAGGGTTATAGAGAAGGTATTGGGAGAGCCATTAGACAGATACTTGAATTAAGGGAGAGCACTATCGAGTGGAGAGCACTATCGAGTGGAGAGCACTATCGAGCGGAGAGCACTATCGAGTGGAGAGCACTATCGAGTGGAGAGCACTATCGAG